GGGGTGAAATCTGCCTAAGGCTTGGAGGAACGTGCAGTTAAAGCCTCTGGGTTTCAGTGATCAGAGAGCAGTCGGGGGGGAAAAAAAGACCTGTAGTTGATACCGTGTTCGTCCCCCTCTGTCCCAAGGAGTCACTTCATTTCTTAGTGGTTTGTTTTTTAAGGAACCTTCATTTAACTATGTCTACTACATAGGCTGAGCTTGAAAGTTTGAGGATTCGTCTAGAAAAGCTTGGAATTTTGTAGCGCTTTTCACGACTCATGGAATTGTTTTCATCCACCATCATTTATTGATGTGTCCAATTTATGTGTCCAAAGGATTGTGTTAGTGTCTTAGTGTAGTAACACAGAAAGGCACTTAATCTTTCAGCATTCTTTAACCATGTGTTAAGTTTAAGGAGGCCTTTCTGAGGGGTTAAAATAAGAACTCATGATTTCTCTCCCTCTCCTTACCTCTGCATTGGATGAACAGTTGATGAAAACTTATAGGTACTGACTTACTGTTTGTTTTTGTCTTTTAGATCAAGGGTAAAATTCCATTTGGATATCAAAATGCAGTATTCACACCACTGTGAGCACCTTTTAGAGAGACTGAACAAACAGCGGGAAGCAGGATTTCTTTGTGATTGCACCATTGTAATTGGAGAATTCCAGTTTAAAGCGCATAGGAATGTGCTTGCCTCCTTCAGTGAATATTTTGGTGCCATCTACAGAAGCACTTCTGAGAACAATGTTTTTCTTGATCAGAGTCAGGTGAAGGCAGATGGATTTCAGAAATTGTTGGAGTTTATATACACAGGAACTTTAAATCTTGACAGGTAAAGTACACATTTTTATTTTCAGTTATATAAAAGCTGGTCAATAGGCCTTAAAGCCAAAATGGATTTTTTTTTCTCCCCATTCATTCTGAGTCAGCCTCAATGTTTATATAGTCACTTTTTAAAGAAATATTTTTTATTTTTATGTGTATGCATGTATTGCCTCCATACACATAAAATAAAAGTGCACGTGTGTCGTGCAGTGCCCGTGGAGGACAGAAGAAGCCATCGGATCCCTTGGGACTGGTGTTCCAAACAGTTGTTAGCTACCATGTGAGTGTTGTGGTACAAACCCGGGTCTTCTACAAGAACAGTCAGTGTTTTTAACTGCTGAGCCATCTCTCCAGTCCCTATACAGTCGCTTTTAAAGCTTCACTATCTCTGTTTGGGATGAACAGATGTTAAAAGCACAAAGAGCACATCATAAGCAAGAGCTCTGCCACACTTATTTAAGGAAATGAAGCTTTTTCTTTCAGTTTTGCAATGTGAAGTTTAAACAGTGAATTTTAAGTGAATTCCATTTCCCACTGCCTTTGATCTTTGTAACCCTCTGGTGTTCTCTCTCCCTCCTCTCCGTCCCTTGCTTCTCATAAGTGCTGATGGTGAAAGAACTCTTTTAGGCTTTTATAACAGCTCCTCCATTGCTAGCACTCAATAGCAATGTGCAGGACTCCCCAAACTTGGTTCTGGAAAGACTATGGAAATATGAGTGACAATAATGTTGTTACCTTGTTAACTTTCCTAATGCTTAAGTCAGGCCAGAGGTGTTACAGAGCTTCTCTTACAATGCTCACTGCTGGGCTACAGAGATGACTCAAGCAGTAATGTGCCTGCCATACAAGCTTGAGGATCTGAGTTCAGATCCTCATCACCCTATAGATGCACATCTGTAACCCCAGTGCTGAGGTGAAGACAGGTGGAACCCTTGAGTTTATTAGCCAGACATCCTAGTAGAAGCCAGGATCCTGTCTCTAATAGTAAGGTAAGGAGCAAGAGGAAGACACTGTGGCCTCCATACAAACATGCACATGCATGGCATGCACATGAACATACACATCAAAAGAGCTTACTGCTGTCACTTCATTAACAAGTAGATTCTGCAGAATCTGATAATACAGACACTTGCTCCCTTGTATAAGAATTAAACTAGTAAGGGTTGGAGAGATGGCTCAGTGGTTAAGAGCACTGACTGCTCTTGCAGAGGACCCGGGTTCGATTCCCAGCACCCACATGATGGCTACAAACCATCCTTAACTCCAGTTCCAGAGGAATCTGACACCCTCTTCTGACTTCCACAGCATTGCATGACACAGGTACACTCACATACATGCAGACAATACACTCATACACATAAAATAAAAAAATAAGATATTAAAAAAAAAAGATATAAAGGCAGAAACCACAATCTGCTTCATTCCTGTGGTATTGGCAGTTGCAAGGACAGTGGAGTCACATTGACCTTACTTAAATGCAGCAATTAGCAAGTTTCAGAAGCCAAAACAAGCAATTGTTAGTCATTTTCTTAACAGATATATAGAGACCTTGATTGACAGTAAGGAGCTTTCTGATTATTATTTCAGCATATTACCAATAAAGACAGGATATTGTTTAGGTTATTTTCCCTTGGGTGGGCAAGAAACATAACTGCAATGTCTGGATGGTGAATTCCTTTCTGTGGTCAGCTATTTCTAAAAGGAAAACAAACTTCTGAGGGGAACTGACTTACTGAAACTAAGTTCAGACCTTGAGCTGGCTGCTTCTCTGATTTTTAAAGTCTATACAAAATGGAGTTGCTCTAGTCATTACAAGACAGAAGCAAAGAAAGAATCTGATCAAAGTACACGTCTCCATTTCTTATGGAAGTCAACACAAGTAGAGTATTGGCTGGTAGCAAACATTTACAGACATTGGGATTAAATCTTGCTGCTGCTGGTTATGTCTCCCTGAGTTAAGACCTCTCTGAGCCTCAATTTCCCCATCTGTAAAAATGAAATGGTACTAACTGTCCTGTTGTTGCAGCCCCAGCTTGTCGTAAAGATTAGTTTCCTATTTTCCCTTCTCTGCTGTCGTCTGCCTCTTCTAGTCTGTGTTTCTCAGGAAAATTAGAAGATGTCGTAAATTCTGTCCCCCACCGAGAAGGGCTGGTAACATTGCCTCACAATCTTTTCCAGAAAAGCTCTACAGACACATGTGTGTGCACATTAATCAAAACCTCTTCCTTCTATATTGTAGCTTATTATGGCAATAGACTTCTTCACAAAGCTAGAATCAAGATGCTTCATAGTCCTTTCAAAAGGAAATGATCATGCTTTAGAATTATTTTAAAATTTTGTCATAATGCAATCTTTGAGTAAGTTCTGTGCAAGTTTAGAAAAGGAACAGCACTGTCATAAATTAATCTCACATAGTCATTTAAATTTGCTACATAGTTGATTAGTCTGGTGCATCTGATCAAAGAATATAGACTATTTAATAGAAAATTACTGCAGAACAGTGAATTTGGGTTGCCTTCAACTAATTTTTTTCTTTCTTCTTTTTAGCTTTTTAGACAGGATCTCTAGCTTACACTGGCCTTTAATTCAGCCTTTTTGAGTGCTGTGGTTACAGGCATAATTCACCACACCTGGCTTTCAATTGATAGTTTCTCTTTCTCAATTATCTGTTTTGACTGGAACATACTGTGGGACCACCTTTCTTTGTGCCTTCCCAAAAGAACCAATGTGAAGAGGAGCCGGGTGTGGTGTTGTCTTTCTTTGGTGCATCTTTCCTTCTTAGTGGAATAGCTGATTTTTTGAGCCTCACTGGGAATATAAGAGAAGAGATAATCAAAATAGACGGGATTATCACTTAGAGATTAAGATAAGGAACCCAGCAGCAGGGCTGAAGAGGTGGCTCAGCAGTTACCTACTTACTGCTCTTGCAGAGAACTTTAGTTCAGTTCGTAGCACCCGCCTCGCTCACAGCTGCATCTGATCTGATTGCTCTCTTCTGGCCTCCACAGGCACCTGCACTCACATGCATATACCCACAACACACATACATACCAATCTTTTTTTTTTAATTAAAAAGAAACAAGGAGAATAATAGAAAAGTAAGTGATCTTAAGGGCCAGATTGCCTTGGTCATCTGGCATTTATTGATGCTGATATGTTAATTTCTTTGGACCTCTGATTTTCCATGAGTACCCACATGTATTTGTGTGTGTTGCTTGGGATTGAACCCATGCATGTTAGAGAAGCATTCTCCACTGAACTTTTCCAGCCCCAGCCCTTGATTTTTTTAATTGACATATAAAATGAGAATTGCTATAATTAAATGACCTTCAGTTACTGTTCAGAAGATGAAAGTAAGATTGGAAGTGCCATAGCTTAATGCAAATAAACAAAAACAGGATCAATTTGTGTGTATGTGTGTGTTTTGAGACTAGGTCTCACCACATAGCCCTGGCTGACGTGGAACTCACTATGTAGACCAGGCTGGCCTCTAACTCACAGAGATCCATCTGCTTCTGCTTCCTGAGTGCTGGGACTAAAGGTGTACACCACCATGCAGGCAAGATGAGTTGTCTTTTTGTTTTTTGTTTTTAAATAGGAAAACTATTATTTATTATTTTTATTTTATGTGTATGAGTATATTATCTGCTTGTATCTAAGTGTACCCATGCCATGCAATGCTTGTGGAGGTCAGAAGAGGGTGTCAGATCCCTTGAAAGTGGCATTAAGGACAATTGTTAGCCACCATGTGAGTGCTGGGACTTGAACCCAGGTCCTCTGCAAGAGCAGCCAGTGCTTTTAACCGCTGAGCCATCTCTCCAGCAGCCCCCCCCCCAGGGGGCACTTTTTGTTGTTGTTCCTTGAATGCCTAAAAGGGGGAAAAATTTTGAAGAGAGACAGTGACAGACTTGTTAATTTCCAAAGTTGGTGCCAAGTCCAGTCTTTGAAGAAGGACATCACAGGCATTTTGTTCTTCCCAGAAGCATAATGCTTGAGATTTTTCACTTGGAGCAACGAAAACAAATGTCCTAAGTCCAAATCCCAAAGAGCATCATGATTTCAATGATTTGGGGGTTATCTGCCCCAAGAGGAGTTTTTTTAAAGAGATTTTTTTTTTTGGATTGATTGATTTTTATTTTATACGTATAAAATGAGTGTTATGCATCCATGAGAGGACCCATGTTATACAGTGCCTGTGGAGGACAGAAGAGGGTGTTGGATCCTGTGGAACTGGAGTTAGGGATGGTTGTTAGCTGCCATGTGGGTTCTGGAATTTGAACCCAGGTCTTCTGCAAGAACAGCAAGTGTTCTTAACCCCTGAACCAACTATTCTGCCTTATTTTTTATTTATATGTGCTTTTGAAGATGCCCTTAGAGGCCAAAAGTAGGCACTGTAACTCCTGGGACCTGAGTTGCAGGTGGTTGTAAGCCACCTGACATGGGTGCTGGGAACTGAACTGTGGTCCTCTGCAAAAGCAGCAAGAGCACTTAATCACTGACCAACTACTCCAGCTCCAAGATCAATTTTTGAAGTAAAGGATTACAATTGGGTCTTTTCACCCAGTTTTTTTGTTTGTTTTGACTGCATGTATGTAGGTATGTCCTTGTCATGCAGTGCCTGCAGAGGCCATAAGAGGGCGTTGGATTCCCTAGAGCTGGAGTTACAGACAGTTGTTGGCCACTCTGTAGGTGCTGGGAACTGAACCAGGGTCCTCTGTAAGAGCAGCCAGTGCTCTTTACTGCTGCGCCACCTGACCAGCCCTTTAACCCAGTGTCTTACTCAGTGAAATTATAGATGGTCTGTGAAAATTACTGTTTCAGTATTGAACAATTAGTATATGACTTAATGCTAATTTTTTTGATTTTTAAGTTTTCCTAATCTTACTATCTGGTGGCGTTTTTTACAGAACAAAAAGCACAGTTTAAGACCAACAGTTTTTTGTTTTTTTTTGTTTTTTTTTGTTTTTTGTCTTTTTGAGACAGGGTCTCTGGGCAGCCCCAGCTGGCCTGGAACTCACTTTGTAGACCAGGCTGGCCTTGAACTCAGAGATCCACTTGCCTCTACCTCCTGAGTGCTGGGGTTAAAGGTAGCCATTTTTTTCATATCATTTCAGCATCTAAAAGATTGTAACTGTTTAAACATTATTCTAAATTATTTTCTGTTACTGAATTATAAAACTTTCAGCATTCTGCTTCATTGGATCTTTAACCGACATTCAAGTGTACAATATGTACAGCTGTTTCAAGTTTGTCCTTGGATTATAGTGTTGTCATTTAGCCTTGTCTCCTTACAGTTGGAATGTTAAAGAAATTCATCAGGCTGCTGACTATCTCAAAGTGGAAGAGGTGGTAACTAAATGTAAGATAAAGATGGAAGATTTCGCTTTTATTGCTAGTCCCTCTTCTACAGAGATATCTAGCATTACTGGAAACATTGAACTCAATCAACAGACTTGTCTTCTTACACTACGAGATTATAACAATCGAGAGAAATCAGAATTGGCTACAGATTTAGGTCAGGCAAATCCTAAACAAGTGGTGCTGACAAAGAAGTCATCTCAAAGTAAAAAGAAGAAAAAGGCTTTCAGCTCACAGAAAACAGGACAGAAAACAGTGCAGTATCCCAGTGACATTCTAGAGAATGGGGCTATTGAATTATTCTTAGATGCAAATAAATTGTCCACACCTATAGTGGAACAAGTTGCCCAAGGAAATGACAATTCAGAACTGGAATTGACCTCAGTCATGGAAAATACTTTTCCAGCACAAGATATTGTGCAAACTGTTACAGTGAAACGGAAACGAGGAAAATCACAACCACATTGTGCTCTGAAGGAACACTCCATGTCTAATATAACCAGTGTAAAAAGCCCGTATGAGCTGGAGAGCTCTGGGGAAGAGCTGGATCAGAGGTATGCCAAGGCCAAACCAGTGTGTAACACATGTGGGAAAGTGTTTTCAGAAGCCAGCAGCTTGAGAAGGCACATGAGAATACACAAAGGTGTCAAACCTTATGTCTGCCACTTGTGTGGAAAGGCTTTTACTCAGTGTAACCAGCTGAAGACACATGTAAGAACTCATACAGGTAAGACTGGTTTGTGGGGAGATAGAATTGTTTTGCTTTTATACTATGTGTCTAATAGTTCTGTTTTTTATCTGTTTTGTTTCAGTGCAGGAAATTGAACCCAGGGCCTCATGCTGAGCATACACTCTACTACTAAGCTGTACCCCCAAGCAAAAATATTTTTTGTAGAGACCATATTATACAATACTGACCACGAATGACCAAAATTTGCATATTCTTTTGTCCATAAAAGTTTTTTTTTCAATTTTATTTTTTTATTTTATGTGTATAAGTGTATTGCCTGCATATGTGTAAGTGCACCATGTCATGGAATGCCTGTGGAGATCAGAAGAGGGTGCCAGATACCCTGGAACTGGAGTTACAGATGGTTGTTAGTCACCATATGGGTGCTGGGAATCAAACCTGGGTCCTCTGCAAAAGCAGCCAGTGCTTTTAACTGCTGAACCATTTCTCCAGCTCCAGTCCATAAAAGTTTTAATATTGGACTCAAAATTACCTTTGTGTTTCTAAGCAAGAATTTAATGGCTATTTGTTATAATTGACATTTTAAGTTTTTTTAATAAATATTTTATGTATATGAGTATATTGCCTCTATGTGAATAAGTGCACCCATGTCATGCAGTGCCCACGGAAGTCCAAAGAGGGTGTCAGATCCCCTAGAACTGGAGTTACAGTTGTTAGCCGCCATGTGGGTGCTGGGAATTGAACCCAAAGTCCTCTGCAAGAGCAGTCAGCACACTTAACCACTGAGCCATCTCTAGCCCCGACATTTTAAGTTCTAATGCATCAGGTCCTTATATTCTTTTCTTTCAGAATAGTATAAACTTTGTCCTAGACCCTTCCCCAATATCCCTGGCAGGGAGGTGGGGTTGTGAACCTAGGGCCTTGAGCATGTTGGGCAGTGCTCTACCACTGAACTATCCCCATCCCGCACAGACACCCCTATGTGACTTTTTATTTTGAGACAGGGTCTTGCTAAGTTGTCAGGCTAGCTTTGAGCCTGTTCTTTATACCTTGCATTTATAATTGTCTGCCTTAGCCTCTGAGGAGCTAGGATTACAGACCTGTACCATCTATCAGGCCTAGCTTGGTTCTAGCTCTCTAAGTAGTTAACAGAGACAAAAATTATAGCTGATTAAAATTATATAATTAAAACTCAGGTCAATTTTCATGTACTACCAACACTTCTCATTACATTACTTCCTAGACATCATTGGATTTTGACCATGATTAGAATTATTCATTCTTTTCTCAGCTTCTGCATTTATTTCTGCTTTGCATGACCTTTGGTGGTTAAGTGTGAGCACTCATCGGTACACTTAGGTTTGTGCTTTCGTAGATGAAACTTGTTTCTCTCGTTGATCATCTTTCACTATTAGGATTTCAAATATCTTATTTTTATTTCATGTGTACGTGCATGTTGCCTGCATGTGTATAAGTGCACCCATGTCATGCAGTGCCCACAGAGACCAGAAAGGGGTGTTGGGTCCCCTGGAACTGGTGTTACAGGTGATTGTTAGCCGCCATGTGGGTGCTGGAAATCGAATCTGGGTCCTCTGCAAGAGCAGCCAGTGCTCTTAACTGCTGAGCCTCTCTCCAGCCTCTACTATTATGATTTAAACAATTATTCTTCTGCTGGTATCTCTAGGAGTCTGGAAAAAGGTCTTATTTGTTTTTGTTTCTAGAAGTTAATGTTTTCCAAATACCAGAACTAGTACTGTTGTCACTCTTAAAAGCTTATATGACTTTTGCAAGTAAAAGGAGGTTTTTCCTTCTTAATACAAATGTCAATTGTTCTTTTAGGTGAAAGGCCATACAAATGTGAACTATGTGATAAAGGATTTGCTCAGAAATGCCAGCTGGTCTTCCACAGTCGTATGCATCATGGTGAGGAAAAACCCTATAAATGTGATGTGTGCAATTTACAGTTTGCAACTTCTAGCAATCTCAAGATTCATGCAAGGTAAAAAAAGAGTTGTTTGACCTCTAAGTTAGTTCATTATCGTAGTCTTGCATTCACACTACTGCAGTAGAATTCAAGATGGTAGAGTTCTGATTATAGTTCTGTCCTACGATATTCTTAGCACAGTGAAGGAAATTCAAGGAAGGCGTGGTAGTCACAGGAGAATCAGAAGGATTGAAAAATAAAATCAGGATAGTAATAGGGCACTTGGGTGATTCGGTTTTTACTGGTTTTGTTTGGTTTTGTTTGTAGGCAGTGAAACTGACGGATTGGTGGTAGGTTCTGCTTGGATTTTAAGAGGATCACAGTGCTGCTATGATAGGAAGAGTGGAGTTTCAGGGGTAGAAGCAAGTTGACCAATTAGGAACCTGGAGTTCAAATCTAAATGCAAGTGATGATAGTGATACCAGTGCAGTCAGTTTCTGGGTACCTTCTAGGAGTAGCCCTATCAGAATTTGCTGACTGACCTTTGTGTAGTCCACAAAGGTGATGACTTTGCAAGCATAGAGAATCCAAAAATTGTGGAGTCATGAGGAAAACCTAGGTTAGGGGTATGTGACAAGGTTGGAGTCCTTTCCGACGGCCTCTGGGAGGGTGATATGAAACCAAAGCTGCCGTGGAGAGCAGAATGTTGGAGATGGCAGAAATGTGGGAAGCCTGCCAGTCGATGGAAGCTGCAGGCAGCAAAGCAGAGCCAGCCCAGGAGAGAGGCCATGTGGCTACAAAAGGCAAAGCCAGTGGGGCTAGGCTGCCCACATCACACCACAGTGTGCCCTGATGCTGGTCATGGAGCTGTAGGATTTGATGCTTGTCCTGGGTTTCTATTTTGCTTTTATCTGGTCCTCCCTTGGTATTTTCCCATTCCTCCCTTTTGGAATGGGAATTGTACTATGGCATTATATAAACTGTGTTTTGATTTTTACAAGTGCTCACACCTAAGAGTTGCCTTGAATCTCAGAGACTTTAGACAGGCTTTTGAGCAATGCCAAGAAACCTTTAGAGATGATGTGAATGTGAGATGGGCATGGGCATTTGGGGCCAGAGGTGCAATGCTAGTTTGGATTGGAAATATTCTCCCAGAGGCTCATGTGTTGAAGGTGTGGTCCTCAGTGCAACTATCTTTGGAGGGGATCTTTGGGGAAATAGCTCTGACCTAGTCAGTGGATTGACTGATGGTTAATAATATCAAGGGCCATTGGGAGGTGATAGAAATTTAGACATTAAGACCTAGCTAAAAGACTGGTCTTGCCCCTCGTCTTTCTCTCTTCCCCTCTCTTGCCGTCTTCTCCCTGACTGCTGTGGTGTAGCTCCACCAAGGTCTGCTGCCAGTGAAATGGACGCAGCAGCCAAGCTCCATTAGACTGTGGCTGCTGCAGCCTCTGAGTGTCCGTATGGCTGAGCATGGTCAAAGGAATCCTGGGGATATCATTCTCTAGGTGGCTGTGTGTGGGCAGGGTGCCTAGTAGTCTCTTCTCAAAGCAAATAAGTTTACATTTTTATACCCTATAGCTGCTGATACCTGGGATTTGGCCAGTGTTCCACTTTTTTTTCTGAGATAGGGTCTTGCAGTATAGCCTAGGTTAATCTCAAACTCAGAATCCTCCTGCCTTTACCTCCTTAGTGCTAGAATTCCAAGGGGACACCATTGCTTTCATCTGTTTTGTGGTACTGAAAAATGAACTTAGGGCTGACACATGCTGGGCACGTGCTCTACCACTGAGCTATGTTCCCAGCCCGTTCACTTCTTTTTAATCGTGCTCCTCTGTTCTTAACCATATCTTGGTCCCAGATTTACCCACACTTCTTTTCTATCCAAACTGCAAGTTTTTCTAGTTTTATCACTCTATGTTTGCTTATTCTAAGTCTGGCTAAAACTAGCCAGTAATGCCCATAACATAACCTGTATACTATGCAGCCTTGAAATGTCCTCCACTAGAATAATTCAGTGTGTCAACTTCAAACCAAGCCCTCTTGAAGTCTCAAGGCATGGATAAAATATAAACAAGTTCTATGCCAGACTGTAAACTTGTTCTCTAGTTCAATTCCAGGCTCACCTCTAACTCTTAATCCTCCTACCTCTGCCTTTTGAATACTGGGATTATCGACATGTGTCTACCATACCTGTTTTGGCTACTGTCCACATTTCCATCAGTATTCTGGTCTTCTGAGTTCATACCAGAATTGTCCACTAAGCTCTGATTATATCATCCTAGGCTTTCTCTAACCTGCAAGTCCAAACTTACCCACATTCCTTCTAAAACCAATTCTACAAACTTCTGAATGCATTATCAGATATAGATACAGTCCCTCATTATCTGTACCTTTTTTTTTTTTTCCTGTGTACTCAGCAGTCACTGTGAGAAAACACCAGAGGTAATCACCTTAAGACAGTAGCACACACCTTTAATCCCAGCAGAGGCAGGCAGATCTCTGAGTTTGAGGCCAGCAGGCTGATCTCTTGAGTTCAAAGCCAGCCTGGTCTACATAGTGCTGTAGCAAGACCCTGTCTCAAAAAGAAAAGATTTATGTTGACTGATAGTCCCAGAGGTTTCAGTCCGTGATCTGTTGGTTCCATTTTTTCTGGGCCTTGGGTACAAAGCATTATGGCAGAGAAGGCATAGTAGAACATGATACTCATCTCATGGCAGTCGAGAAGGAGAGGGTATACCCTTACCTGCTTCTTCCTCCTAGGCACCACCCCCTAAAGTTTCCATCACCTAATAGTACCATTATCGAGGGACCAAGCCTTTGACACGTGGCCTTTAGGGAGCTTCCTGTAGTCAAACTTCAGAGTTTAGGGCATTGGTTTCACCTGAAGATAGAAATTTGGCAGTCATCATATGGATAATATTTGAATCTGTAATCATAGATGAGGTCACCAAGGGAGTGAAGGTCGATTTACAAAAAAAAAAAAAAAAAAAATCAGAAGCCCGAGTTCTGAGTGATGTTCTCGCAGAAGGAGCATAGAATATGAGTGAAAAGGTGAGAAACGGGAAGTATTCGAGAAGGGTGTGAAGATGTGTAGATTTCTGATGACAGGGAGATGAAGACTAGGACTTCACTTGTATTTAATAAAGTTGATCAGTGCCCTTGACAAAAGCACCATTCGCAGAGGCTGGTAGAGCTCAGAGGAGACACAATGGGAAATGTTTAGAGACTCAGACTTTTGGTAAAAGGGGACAGAGAGATGGATGAGCAAGTAGGGTGAGGGTTTTCTCTGTTTTTTCTCTAATTACCATCATGGGGGTTGCTTTTTGTTTTGAGGCAAGATCTCACTCTAGTCCATGACAAACTAAAATGGATTCTGTAGCTCAGGCTGTCCTTAAACACTAATCCTTCTACCTCAGCCTTAAGTGCTGAGATTACAAGTGTTAGCCACCACGCTAGGTGTTTTTTGTTTGTTTGTTTTTTTCTTTTTTGACAGAAGGCATATATCAATATAAGACATATATCAATATATATCAATTATATCCTATGATCCTATTATACCCTATGATCCTATACCAAGGGGAGAATTAATGTTGGATGGAAAGAATTAATAGGAATGATTAAGTAGGATCATAAATAATATCTTAAGTACTGTCCAAATACAAGTCAGATTGACAGGCGAGGTCACCCTCAAGTGACAGAGAAAGGACAGTGTATAGGTACAGGTGCCTATAGGGAGAGGTTGTGATGGTGAAGAGTTCCTCTTTTTTTATTTTTAATTAATTTTGTGTGTGTGTGTGTGTGTGTGTGTGTGTGTATGTATATGTATGTACACATGCATGTGTGTGTATGCTTCGTGGGTTGCATATGGAGATCAGAGGGACATCCCATGGGGGTTGATTCTCGCCTTCCACCCTATGGATCCTAGGGATGGAATTCAGGTCATCAGGCTTGGCAGCAGGCACCTTTACCCACTGAGCCATTTCACCAGCCTGAATTTTCTTTGGACTAAATTTTTGTTAGTAAAATACTAAGCAGTCTGTCAGCTGGGCCTGAGGGTGGTGCTGGTGGTGTGAGGAAGACGTTTTGATAAGTGAGGGGACTAGCAAAATAATTGCCATATGAAAGTTCACTGATAATGGTATAGTGTTGAACTCATCGCAGAACCAGTGTTTTGATAACTAAAACATTTATTTTTGGCAGTGCTTTACATAGAAGCAATTGTTGGTTTTAAATATTTAGTCTTAACCTGTTAAGATGAAATGAAATGCTGCATGAAAAATTACATAAAAAAAAGTTTGCTACGTAACTGACCTCCACTTGTTTGACATAGCAGCCTGTGACTTTGTGCTCACTGCAGGAAGCACAGTGGAGAGAAGCCATATGTCTGTGACAGATGTGGGCAGAGGTTTGCCCAAGCCAGCACACTGACCTATCATGTGCGTAGGCATACTGGAGAAAAGCCCTACGTGTGTGACACCTGCGGGAAGGCATTTGCTGTCTCTAGTTCACTAATCACACATTCTCGAAAACACACGGGTAAGAGTTGACACAGTGAGACTGCTGAGATGAAACTTGCAGTTAAAAGACAGGCAGGAATTAGATTATAGACTCCATACTTAGCTGTCTGTCTGTATTTGTACTTTTGAAGCTATGTCTATGATTTTCACATAAATATTAGATAAAAAGGGACATTTTCTAAAATAGTAAAAGGTAGGTGAAATCATCATGCAGCTTATACACATTCAAATAAGATCATTCTGAAAATATGTAAATTGAATTGAAACAAGTTTCTATGACTTGAGAAAACCACTTTAGCTTTTTGAGAGTTTATTTCCTTTGGATAAGTTTGTGGAATGAAGATGTGGGAGGTGGGTTTCAGGAAGAAACTGACTTTATAACTTCTTACCTAGTCAGAGGTTTGCAATTAAAACAAATAAGTCAAATGCAAATGATCAGTTTCGAGACAAAATGTATTGATCACAGAGTTTCTTCTAAAGTGGGTTGTTAAATATAATCGTTCTTAAATGTATTATTCTCCTTGGATAATAAAGTAGATAGCAAGATTTACTATGTGGATTTAGTTCATCTCTATTAGAAGAGAGGAGACATTTTGCAAAAATAAGGTTTTAGTATGTGAAAAGTATCAGGCTAAATAGTATAAAATAATAGTTCATTTAAGTTGGATTACTAAAAATACCTCTAAATACAGTGTAGAGAGACTTTAATTGAGGTACTATTTTAAGAGCTTACTTTAGATCATTTGTAACTAATAAATATTATGCTGGTATAGTACACCACTTCGCTATCTTTTATTTTCCATCTAGGTGAAAAGCCATACATATGTGGTATTTGTGGGAAAAGTTTTATTTCCTCAGGAGAGCTCAACAAACACTTTCGATCCCATACAGGTCTGTGTTGAGGGAGAATGTATTACATTTTGTTCTCTCTTAATTTCTTTTTATATAAACCTTGGCTTTGAAACCATTGTGGACTATATGGTATCTCGTCATAATTTACCATATAATGATACTTGAATGTATAAATACTGGCTTTTTGTTTGCTCGTTTTCTTTTTTTCTTTCCTTTTTTTAGTTGTTTAGAATGTGATTTAAATTTGGTCAAGAATTGTGTAGATTTTTCAAGATATGTGCCAGATAATTTTAAACAAAAGCATTTGTATTACATTGCATAGATGTCTTGACTATTGACTAGATAATACCAAGATAACATCAGCCTTCTTAAATGGTGTTTGTATACAAGCTTTAGGGAAGAGTTTTAATATTAATGTGTTATTGTAAGAAGTATATAAGTTGTATGAAAAGAATGTTGAATTTTAAAATTAAAGGGAAAATACTACTTTTTAGCTTTGGCTGACCTGGAACTCATAGAGGTCCACCTGCCTCACCCTTCTGGGTTAAAGTACTGGAATTAAAGATGTGCACCACCAGCTAAAATGCTTTTTTTTGTTGCTGTTGTTGTCTTGAGACAGGGTCATCTCACCATGTAGCTCTGGCTGATCTGGAACTAGCTGTGTAGACCAGGCTGGCCTAGAACTCATAGGGATCTACCTGCCTTACCCTCCCAAGGACTGGGATTAAAAGTGTGCACTATAGCATCCAGCTAAAATGCTACTTTTAAAATATACTGTTCATTTCTTTTTTAAATATTTATTATTTTATGTGTATGAGTGTATTGCCTGCATGTATGTGAATGCACCTGTGTCGTGCAATGCAGTGGAGGCCAGAAGAGGGCTTCGGATTCCCCTGGATCCTGGAGTTAAGGACAGTTCATAGCTGTCATGTGGGTGCTGGGAATCGAACCCAGGTCCTCTGCAAGAGCAGTCAGTGCTCTTAACTGCTGCGCCATCTCTCCAGGTCCTGCTCATTTCTTTTTCAAAAATTCTTCATGTATTCTTACTAGAGAAGGTGAATACTGGAGGGACCTGTTCAGTCATTGCCAGTTCCTTTGTTTGCATAGTCTTTGCCTTTGGGGGTAAAACACTAAATGGTTCTTAAGTCCCCCCAAGTGCTGGGTATCAAACCTAGAACCTCACATATACTAGGCAAACATTCTACCACTAGTCTACCTCCCCAGCCTGAACACTTTCTTATTTCAAAATAATTATACACTATTGTCAGTATTTTTTAAGAGCATTTCCCACCTCAAGTGAGGTATACAAGATTGTATTTTTCCCCTAGTTCTCTCTCTTAACAAGGTTCTGACATCTAATGCATATCTGATAGAAATAAAAGTGTAGATTATTTTTTAGTTTGCAAGTTTCAGATAATGAAAATGCTCAGTTTTCTCTGAAATTGGGATGTACTTTTCTATGAGAAGTTATATGTATAGGATTTCTCATTTCACTGCCAGAAACTGATTAAAATACTACTTTCAAACCAGTTTTAAACAATATAATTATTTTGCTTTATATTCATAAACATCGATAGTTTTGTGTCAGCTAGCAGGTTTTGTTTTTTTTTTTAAATACTGAGTTTTTTAATTTCCTTTTCAGGAGAAAGACCATTTATCTGTGAATTATGTGGGAACTCTTATACAGACATTAAAAATTTAAAGAAGCACAAAACAAAGGTCCATTCTGGTAAGTGCTGTGTTTAAAAACAATGTTGCCCCTAATATTGGTGCTAATGTGTTGAGATGTAAATTTCAACAGTTTAGGGGGCTAAAGAGATGGCTCAGCAGTTAAAAGAGCTGGCTGCTCTTGCAGAGGACCCAGGTTCAGTTCCCAGTACCTACATGGTGGTTGACAACCATCCATAACTCCAGTCCCAGAAGATCCAATGCTCTGTTCTGACTTCCACAGGGTTGCACTTACATACATGTAGGCAAAATGGTCATACACATAAAATAAAAATAATATTAAAAAAATTTTCCGACAGTTTAAATTAGATATATTTAAAAACCAGACATAAGTAGATATAGTGGTGTATGCATATAATCCCAGTACTCAGAAAGCTGAAACAAGGATCTCAAGTTCAAGGCCAGCCTGGCTACATAGCTAGTGGCAGGCCAGCTTGAGCTACATAGTGAAACCGTCTAAAAAATAAAAATAAAGAAGACCCAAAGCAGAGTGGGCAAGAAGGTTGTTAAGTGGATAAAGGCTCGTATGCTTAGGCCTAATGACCTGATATCCAACCCCATATCCCACAAGGTGGCAGGAGAGAACACCTCACACCTAAAATTAATTTTAAAAAACAAAATAGTAACAAAAACTTAAATGTACACATATCAAGAAAGTAGCTTTATAATTTACAGAAAATTGCTGTTCGTACTTCTTTTAAAACATTGAGCTTCATTTAAAAAAAATCCTTCAACTTTTCCCTTTAAAAATCTGACTTGTAGGAAAGCATGGTGGCACATTCTGCACACCTGTAATTCCAGCACCTAGGAGACATGCAGGAGGGTCTCAGGTTCGAGGCCAGCCATGGGCTACTTAATGAGTCCCTATCAAAAACAACCTTGACTTGTGAACAATTTCAAAAACGAAATACAAGCAAGCTAAGTATCCTTATTCCCCATCTTGGTAATCCAGGGTGACAGTAGTGGTTAGGAAGGAGAGCTACTATCATGAAGACCAGCCTAGAAAAGGGTGAGGAAGTAGGGATAACTGGAAGTTCAAAATCGTGATAATACCTCAAAGTGGAAAGCTGGACTGCACAATTGTAGGCCTACTGCTTAAAATAAATCCTTGAAAAGATTCCCTGTGCTTACCATTTCATCCTGTCAAGACTAGAAACATGAGTGTCAAATGATAACGTGGGTGAGTGGGCATGGTAGAGTGCTTGCCTAGCATGCATGAGACCCTAGGTAAGTCTCTGAAATACAAGCATTGTAAACATTAAGGTAGAAACATCTGAAAACGTAAGCAAGTATATAAATTCAACAAGTGTTCATAAATACTGATGAAGTGCTCATAAGCACAGGGAGGATGAAGTTGAACAGGGTACAGTCCTGTTCTTAGAGAGCTTACAACCTGCATGGAAAAGACCAGATATTAATAAAATTGAAAATGTAGGACGTTATAAATACAAAGTACCAAAGAAGATAGTTTTTCTGAGGCATTAGAAGAGGCTTAATCTTAAACTGGATATGGTGGCACCTACCTGTAATTTAGCCACTAAGACAGCACAGGTTATTTCTTAACTGATTGAACTAAAGAGTGGTCTGGGAAGAATACAGAGAATTATAACAATGAAAGCACATAAGCAGTGATAGGTGCCTCATTTATTGAGTCTACTGAAATGTCAACATTTTGGAATGGCAGAACATGGCAAGGCCAGTTATAAACCTGAAGGCAAAAATGTGTTCTAGTCAGTGTGATAATTTTAGTAGAGCAGAATTTCTCACTCCTGAAGATCAATGAAAGTGCTATATTTCAGACTTGAAAGCCAAAGAATATATGAACTGCTCATTAAAACAGTCAGTGAATGAAGAGTATTTATTTGATATGTTGCTCTTCAACACTTAGAATTGGAAGAATGTAACTTACATTACCCTCAAGGAATTTGTAGTCTAGTTAAGCAAGGTAGAGCTGAGTAGAATGCCACAGGAAGGGCCAGGACATTTGACCCATATGGGTGCTGGAATTGAAACCCTGGTCTCCCGTAAGAACGGCCAGTGTTCTTAACCACTGAGCCATCTCTCCAGCGCCCTCCCTACACTTTTATTAATTATTTGAAAAATATGTAATAAGGAGGATGAGAAAAAGCTGACCCTAGTCTAGAATGGTGAAGTCTAGTTATATAATGATAGTGGTGCTTGAACCTGTTCTTGAAGTCCAGATTGAGTTTGCCCTGCTAATACATAAGGCCTATCAGTAAAAGAAACAGATAACACAAAGATGGGGAGGTTAGAGGTTAGACTCTGGAACCATTAAGTGGATTAGTCTACCTCAGACAATTATTTTATTTTTGATGATAGTGTACATTCCCCTTTTAGGTACGGAAAAAACTCCAGATTCCAATGTAGATGATCATGCTTTGAGTGAACACGATTCCATACAGAGAAGCCCTTTGTCAGAAACTATGGACGTGAAGCCTTCTGACATGACTCTACCCTTAGCTCTTCCACTGGGAACGGAGGACCACCATATGCTTCTGCCTGTCACGGACAGCCAGTCTCCGACCTCAGACGCACTGCTGAGGTCAACTGTGAATGGGTATTCAGAACCACAGTTGATTTTTTTACAACAGTTATACTGATTGAGGAAATGGAATTGCTAAGACATCTCTGGTAGTAAATATAAGCATCTCTGGTAAGGTGCATATTCATATTTACCCCCTTCATTTGAGCTTTGTGTGACCGTTATTTTTCATCCACTAAAGTAAAAGCACCTAATGCTGCACCTGTCAGTGCTTGTCTTGGTTTTGGACTTTTGTGTATAACTAGACAAACAGCTTTTTAAGGAATGAACTGTACTACAGTAGCACCTTTTCAGGTGGGTAAGTTTTAGACACTTCCAAAGCTGTCTTAATTCCATTTTTATTTTGCATTTTTGATTTACCCTTCATTTCTGAGGTAGAATCTGACCTGGGGTTTTGTTGTTGTTCTTGTTTCTTTTTTAATTCACACCTCAAAATTTAAGCAAAATCTACATTACTATCACTTCAGATTGATTGTAAACCCAGTAGACCAATACATAAAGGAGAGGAGGGGATTAAATTTCATCATCCTGCCTATGAAAATTCAGATACTAAATAAAAATCGCCCTGTTTCTTCATTAGTATCTCCTTTAGAGGTAACTTTCCTAATGATGCCAAAAGAAGGGTTTCTCCTAAAACCCAGAAAAATGAGGTAAATTTTTGTTCATTTAGAACTCAGTATTCTGGAGAAAAGCAAGAGTCATGTTTTGTTTTGAGACTAGATTTTTTTAAAATAGATATTTGGTGTTTCTATATAGTCTAAAGACAGTTTATAGTTTATTAGATTTATAGATTACTGGAAGTGAGCATATACCAAGTTTTGAAATTTTTGATGAGTCTGTCTTATATCGGTTACTCATTTTTTAAAATATTAAGTTCTAAGAAGAATTTTCTAGATATAAAATACATACTAGAAATCACTTGGCTTCTAAATTTGATCTATTATAGTGAATAAAAAAATCAGGAATCTTGATAAGCATGCCGGAGGTCCTGGGTTCTAGTTATGGCAACACACACACACACACACACACACACACACAATCAACATACTTCAGTGGTAAGCTATAGTTTTGGATTATGAGTTTGCTAACCACTCTTGTGTTTGAGTTTTCTGTAAATGATGGTTTGTCATTTTCCCACAGAAGCCACAGCTTTTGACTGTTGGCACTTCACAGCTGTCCTGCTTCAGGCGCATGGAGAGAATTAACCCTGTCCTGGTGCTTGCTGCCCCTCTTCCCCATCTCACTTTTCCCATATACTAATTTATTTCACCTCCTCGTTTGAATATTAAATCGATTTCATAGAATCAGTTCCCATATGCTGTTTTCATGGTTTAAACAACACTGAGATAAGTTTAATGTTTTTATTGAGACTGAATTCCTTAATCATAATTGTCTTTGGGGTCCAAGTCATGGTCATCATTTTTCAGAGCATCTGGCATTTCATACCTGCCACCAGTGAGACTTAGTGTTTTATTATTTAGCTTAAAAAAAAAAAATCTATGTGTGTATATTAGCATACTGGGTTTAAATAAAACTTATAAAGTTATAAAATGCTCAGCCAATCTATTTTCATTTAAGCTCAGTAAAAACTGACTGGACAGTAACAAAACCAGTGAAAATTAAAAGATTCAAATCTTTCTGACAAGTCTGCTAAAGTGGAAAGTTTACATTTAATTTACATATTCATTAATCCGAGCATCTAACAAACAAAATTTAAGTGCACTCGGGAGGCAGAGACAGGTGGATATCTGCGAGATCAAGGCCAACCTGGTCTGCATAGTGAGTTTCAGGCCAGCTGGGGCTACAGGGACACCCTGTCTCAAAAAGAAAGAAAAACAAGGTGCTATAGTTAGCCAGGTGTAGTAGCTCATGCCTATAATCCTAGAACTTTGGGAAACTGACGCAGAACCCAAAAGTTGCTATAATGATGTCATGGTTATATAGGGGATAAGAATTACTAACTTTCCTCAAATACAGTGATAGCATCTTTTATTCATTTGTTTATCTTTTTCAAATTTTGAGACAAGGTCTGACAACGTAGGCCACACTGGCCTAGAACTTGCTCTGCAACCTAGAGTGGCCTCCTACTCATCCTCCCTCAGCCTCCAGAGCACTGGAATTACAGACATGCAACAACATCTAACTTGGTAATTAAAATTTTTACCCTTTCATAAAAATTTCCAAATTTGTTATTTTCAGTATTATTTTATATAATTGGAGTAGGTAGGGCTGACTTTTTTTTTCCCTTAAATTGCACCATCTGCTTAGCTGAAATAATTTATTTTAAATTGATGTGACTTCAGTCATAATCTACCCTTCCAGTCCACATAAAGAGAGCTTGAAGACAGTGTCCTTATACTGAGAGGTGTTATTATAACATGCATATATTTTAGATGTGTCTTGTAATTATTCTAACAACAAATCATTTTGGGTAAGTTCTTTTAACTATTTTGTCATGATGCAGTGTTTGGGGAAAAAAAATCTTGTTTATTTAAGTATTATGGGAATTTTGAAAGTCTTTAAAATGCTAAATATCTTAGAAACTATTTTCTAATTTTGTTTTGTATTTGTATTATTACTATAATTGTTAGATTTTAGACTTTTTAAAAAAATTGTAAATTATTAAATGAATTTTGCTGTTAAATAGTGTTTGTTTAATTTCACAGGATAATTTTGGTAGACAATTTTAGAAAAGAATTTTCCACATCAGGGGCCTTGTCAGTTCATTGCAACAGCAATTTATGATTTTATATCTTTTTTTAACTCACTATGTAGACCAGGCTGGCCTTGAACTCATAGAGATCCACCTGCCTCTGCCTCTGAAGTGCTGGGACTACAGGTGTGCGCCACTACGCCTGGTTTTGATTTTATATCTTTTTAAAAATATTTTATTATTTTTATTTTATGTGTATGAGTATATTCCCTGCATGTATGTGAGTGCACCCGTGTTGTGAAATACTACGGAAGTCAGAAGAGTACTTAGAATTCCCCTGGAACTGGAGTTAAGGATGGTTCATAGCCCCCATGTGGGTGCTGGGAATCAAACCGAGGTTCTCTGCAAGAGCAGTCAGTGCTTTTAACCGCTGAGCCATCTCTCTAGCCCCAATTTTATATCTTTTAATCCTACAGAAATTTTGCAAATCAGAGTAGACAATTACACTTTTTTAAAAAAATTTTACGTGTATGTGTGTATTGCCTGCACGTGTGTGTGTGCACTCATGTCATGCAATTCCTGAGGAGAACGGAAGAAGGTGTTGGATCCCATGGAACTGGAGTTATAGACAGCCAGCATGTGGGTTCTGGGATTCAAACCTGGGTCTTCTTCAAGAACAACCAGTGCTCTTAACCACTGAGTCATGTCTCCAGCCCCTACACTAACTTTGAGAACTATCCTAGGCTAATAGTTCTAGTGCCTTCATTCCTATCAGAATTGAGTTAAAGAGTAACAACATCCATACCTGCTTGATCAGAAGTTAGTGAATCAGGTCATCTCCAGGGCTTCTGTGTGTTAGAATAGCCCCACGGTTGATCTGAATGTATGCCAAACCTTGAGAATTAGTGTCCTCAGCCTTTCTTGGAGCTCTGTGTGAAACGGTTAAAATGAAGTTCTTGAATATAATTTTTTTATTTATATCTGGAGACTTTTGAATCTATTATTTAGTTAGAATACTACCAAATAAGATTAAAGTCTATTTTCACTAACTATTCTGAGTAACATTGAAATTGAATTATTGGACTCTCCCTCTGTCCCTCCCTCCTTCCTCCTTCCTTCCTTCCTTGAGACAAGGTTTCACTGTGTATCACTATTTTGACCTTGAACTCACTAAATAGCCCAGGTTAGCCTCAAGCTCACAATAGCCTCAGGCTCTGAAGTGCTGGGATTATTAGGTGTGAACCACCACACCCTATTTTAATTTCTTGAGACCATGGTATAGTCTACTCTTTTGCCTTTTGCAACCCCTGCCTCTATTCAGGGAAGAAAGGCTTACTGTGTTTTAAGAAGTTAGACTTATCACTTAGACCTAGTACCTTCCAAAAACAGGTACTTAACTTCAGGAGCTATAATAAGCACCATACTCTGAATTTGGATAAAATCTTGCTACTAGTTATGTTGCAAAAATACTAAAATCAGAATGTGTAATGTAAAAGTACAAAAATAATTTCTACCTCTCCTTAAGCTTATAGTCACACGAGAAAGCCAAAATCAATCTAACTAGCAGTAAAACATGTTAAAATGCTGAGTATTAAATAAAGTAGAGGAAGATGAGAGAGGAAAGGAAGTGTGAAGAAGTGAGACAGGAGTTGAAGGGGGAGACACAGGCCTAGCTCACCTGGGTCATCACCTGAGATGGCTGATGGTTGCACACAGCTGATTGAGGAGCGAGCTAGGCAGAATGCCAAAAGCATTCTATGAGAAGCAAGAGTCAATGCCCAGTCAATGCATCCATGCTGACATACTTGAAATAGTCCCTGGAAGGAGTGTCTTAGACAGATTTATAACCCATGACGTCACATGTACCACAGTTGTTGACGTTAGCCAGCCTCATTTGTAACATGATTCTGTACTTGTGACCCCAGCTGACTGAATTGCCTTACCGGGGAGAAGCAGTTCTTAGGCCAGACAGCTGGTCAGAATCTCAAGAATTTGAGCTATGAAATGCAGCATGTGATGTCAAGTAAGATACGTATGTAAAGGAAAAGGTCCTTTGGAATTGGCCCAGTCAGTGGGGGAAGCAGAAGTCTACAGGAAGTTATAAGTAAGAGAGAACTGGTCTTTCAGATGGGATCTTGTCTCAAACCAACAGAAAGATACAGTAAGTAGTCTCAATATGAAAATGAGAGTGTGGAAGGTAAACAGGATGCTGCTTTCAGATTTGAAGCACTGTAAAATGAGCATGATCTGTGACTGTAATCAGTTCTGTTTAAGGAGAGTCTTAAAAGATGATGACCAAGAGGTAAATAGAAGAAAGTTGTGTAAGAGGCTGTAGATGTGTGCATAATTAAGACATGTAGAGGGAGCAGAGTTTCCTAGGAAACTTACATATCCCCTACCTAAGGGGAAGTCTAGAGAAAATTAGCTTCTTAGCTGGTTGGAAACCTCCTCTCCTGCTCATCTTTTGGAAGAATGCTGTCTTCCTGCCTTTTATCTCTGATGACATCCAGATATGGGGGCAGGGGGAGTACATGACATGATGGCATCAGAATGAATGGGTCTGAGCATTCTGCCAGCCTCTGTGGCAGGTAAGGTCATCAGGCCTTTCCTGCCCTTGTCATTGTCAGAGCTGGTAGTTCTGGGCTAAACTGGCCTCACCTCAGTTCTCTTGGGTGTGGACCATTTACTAAGGTTCCATCAGCTGCATCTCTGTGTAAGCAGTGCAGTGTAGGTCTAAGTGCAGCTTGGCACATTCCATCCCACTGCAGACTCAGGTAGGCTTATGTGCCTTCCCTCCAGCTGTCTGCTAAATCCTCCCTTGCAAAAATATATGCACTCCTGGGCCCTGCTATAGCACACAGGAATAGACGGAAGCCTTAGAAAGCAAACTGCATTACTAAGAGTTATTTGAACGTCTGTGTCTTGTCCTGAAAGGCCATGTCTTTCCAGAATACTGTAGACTCTTACCCAGCGTATGACGGACTGCTTCTTCAAAGCAATGAAAAATGAATTCAACTATAGCTCCTAAGATAACATGAGTGAATTGTACTAATATTGCACAAGTAGTCAGACACAGAAAGGTTATATAAAATCAGGACAATGATTATCTATGAGAGGAAGGTTTTTATTTGCCTGTTTTCATGAAATTGTCATTGACACCGATCTATAATACCTTAAAAAGACTATGTGGAATACTTTTTGAACTGCTGAACTTTGGAACCTCTTGAAATCACTGGGAATTTGCCAACTGAAACCTTTCTACCACTTTGTAAGACTATTACACTAAGATGTCTGGTGCGACCTTTACTTGCATGCTGCTTCACTGTCTGGTTTTTGTTTTTGTTTCTCATAAAAAGAAGCAGGTGGATCTCTGTGAGTTCCAGGCCAGCCTGGTCTATGGAGTGAGTTCCAGGGCAGCAGGGGCTACAGGGAGACCCTGATTAAAAACAACAAAAAAATCCTTTTTGGGTCTTTATATTAAGAACCACGGTTTTTTTGTTTGTTTTTTTACAAGGGGCAACTATACAGTTTTGCACATTTGATAAAAGTAACTTGTTCTAATTTATGAAAGAAAGAAAACAGGCTATCAGATATTAATCTCTGAAAATGTTGAGACAGTTGAGCATGGTGTTGTGCCCCTTAATGCTTGCACTCAGTAAGCAGAGGCAGGTGGATCTCCATGAGTTCAAAGCCAGCCTGGTCTTCATATCAAGTTCTAGGCCAGCCATGGCCACATGGTGAGACCATGTCTCAAAAAAAAAAAAAAAAGAAATAAAAATTAAAAGGCATGAAAACAATTCTCAAGCTTGTTTCTTATAGATGTTGACCAACTGGAACAAGAGCAAAGCCTGCACTGGATGAGGGGGCATACGCATCTCCGTAAGATGGTGTCCAGTAATAATGCTTTTTAAGGCCATTGGAGACTTCTGCAAGGTAGACATGTCCATCCACCACATAGGGCTCCACATCAGTATTGTCTGGCTGTAGCCGGCCACTCTGCATCAAATCTGAAAATGCCTAATTTTTTAGGAAAAACACCATCATTAAGAATATAATTTATTCAGTTTACAGTAGTTAAACAATCAATGTAGCTGTTATTTTATACTTTAAAATGTTTTAGTATTATTTCTGGTATTTTAGATAGAATTTGTTCATTTAATTACACATAAGGAAATTACAAATTGCCTAACTTTTAAGTTTTAACATAATAAGGCATGTTTTTAGTGTGTAAACCATTTTGTGAATCCTTGAGTTTATTCTCTATACTTCCAATGTTGTGACCATCAGGTCCCATGGTCAAACTTTGCAAGTCTCATGAGTACTAAGAGGTCAGTAGGTAGAGCATGGAGGTGAGGGTTGTTTTGTTTACTTTCAAAAACCTGATGGTAGAGCCCCACAGGTTGATGCATGCCTACATTCCCAGCATTGCTGAGGCTGAGGCAGGAGGATTGTGAGTTCAAGACAAGCCTAGGCTACATAGCAAGACCTTTCCTCCCCCAAATAAATCTGATGATAGGCCAGGCATGGTGGTATATGCCTTTAATTCCAGCACTCAGGCAGAGGCAGGCTGATCTCTGTGCGATTGAAGCCAGTCTGGTCTACATACTGAGTTCCAGGCCAGTTGTGGCTATATAGGGAGACCCTGTATCAAAAAACCAAAAAAATTAAAAAATAAAAAATAAATAAACCTGATATACACAGGGACTCACATCTCAAAGACAAAAAACAGTATTTGGCTATGTAACTATTATGTCATATGGAGTTCATGAAGCTCTTGAAGTCAGTATGCAAGTTTAGGCTAAGAAAGGCAATTCCCCATAGTGTTAGATGGTGACCTATCAATTATTTCATTATTATGGAATTTTCTTTTTCTATTGAATTTTTGAGAATTTCATATAATACATCTTGATCATATTTAGACCCCTCCTCTATCTGCACACTCTCCATAGCCCCCCCCTACCAGATTTCATGCATTCTGTCATGTATGTTAAGGCCTATCAAGCCACATTTGTATAGCTAGAAGTCCTTTGGGATGAGTCCATCCACTGGAACCTGGTCAGCCTGTCTAGCTTCACTCCCTTAAAGAAGACCAGCTCTCCCTCACCCAGGAGTCATCAGTTGCCAACAGTTCCTCAGCTAAGGCTGGGGATTCTTCCCACTTCCCCACTTCTATGCTGGGTTTTTTTTTTTTGTCTGACCTGAACTTGTTGAGTCAGTTGTGAATTTTCATTATTTATCTAATGGAGCTTTGGTTTCTGTGTAAAGGCATCATACAGACTTTTGAGCTGCTTTGTCAGTAAAGTTGCCAGTACAGAAAAGGAGGTAGAAATTTAGACATGAAAATATTTCAGTTTGGGGTTGCTTTCTGTTTCAGCTTTTCATGTCTTTGGTTCCAAAGTCAACTTACACAGCTTCCACTGTGCAGAACTTCTAAAGGATGTCAATGTTTTTAAGAACTCTGGGTGGTTTTTCAGGCAGTAGTATACCTTTTATTACCTGTTCGTGGTAGGATTTTAGTCCTTTTGCAAATGTTAAGAATTTTAACTTAATCTTTTTTCTGTGTTCTTTCCAAATGGAAGCTATCCAAGGCTCTTAGGATTTATGAGAGAAAATTACTCAGTGGAATGGCAGCTTGTATATTATCTCTCTAATTCTTTATCTTGATATATCAGGAGCAAGTTGGAAATTTTGCTACATCAAGTCAACAGTGATAAACTTTTTCCTTTGGAGGAATTGGAACTGTATGATTCACAGATCTTTAATACTGGTGTATGGTATTTGCAGTGTTTTCTTATTTCAACCACAAAACTTTCTAGTAGTTCATTTTTAAGACTTAAATCAAAAATTACCAAAACTGTAGTGCCCCACTCTACTTTGAAACCAATTTTTTAAAAAATATTTTTTCTGTGAGTATTGTCTGCATGTGTGTAAATGTACCCATGTGATGCAATGCCCGTGGAGGTCAGAAGAGGGTACCAGATCCCCTGGAACTGTAGTTACAAATTGTTAACCACCATGTGGGTGCTGGTATTCAAACCCAGATCCTCTGCAAGAGCAGTCAGTGCTTTTAACCACTGAGCCATTTCTTCAGCTCCATGAAACCATTTTTAAAAAGGAACTGTGTCTGGGGTTATAGAGAAGAACCCAGGAAGCACCTTTATTAAAGAAAAAACTTACCATACATGTAGCCTTGTCAAATTTGTTTCCCCAAATATATATATTAGATAGCGTGAGGTTTATTTTCATTGATTTTGAAAGTGCAACAAGCCCTTCTCCCTCTATCTTGTTGCTCACTACAGACAATCTGTAGGGGAAAAAATGCTGGAATTATGTAGTCCCACAGAGAAAGAATGCTTAAGTCAGCATCAGTATTTATTAACACCACTTTCTTGTGTGAAATCTCAGCATTATTCTTCACCATGTTTTAATGTGGTGATCCAATTATTGACTGTATAACTCTTTAGTCCATGGAACTTGTTTTCTTATTGAATGTTTCATGTGCCTAGGAAAGCTGCTTATATTTTAAAATAGCCTTTTTGCTTCATTTTATTCAGTAAATGTTGAGTTACAAATAAAAGTATCATATTGAATGTGGGTAACAAAAGTATCATTGAATGTTTGCAGTTTTTCTGTTAGAATTTGGATAATTTTATCATGAATTTTAACAAGCAATCATATGTAAAATCATTCTAATTTTTTGTTGTTGTTTCTGTTTGTTTCGTTTTGTTAAGACAGGGTTTTCCTATAGCCCCACCTGGCCTGGAACTTGCTTTGCAGACCAGGCTGGTCTCTCTCAGAGAGATCTGCCTGCCTCTGCCTCCTGAGTGCTGGGATTAAAGGCGTGCACACCCAGCCCTCTCATTTTTAAAAGATACTTTTAAGTTTTAGCATATATTTTGATTAAATATAAAAACCATACTAACGCTTTAAGACTCCTGTTATGTGAAGTGAGAGTTTCACTGAGGTAATTTGCTCCTGTGTTTTCTATTCTGTTAAAAGAAAGGTCTATTACTTCCAAGGTAGTATTGCTTTTCAGTACATCAGCCAGGTACACCATTCCATCACGAGTTATTTTATTGCTAGGGAAGGAAACATATTTAGTAATATTTTAAAATGCTAAGTATTATTCTTAACAGTCATAAGATACTTGAAATCATGTAGTAAACAGTACTTTCTATGTTAGTATGCTCAACTTCCAAGAATGAAAAAATAAGCTCCCATTCTAGTTAGCATAATTAAACTATCTGTTCAAGCTGTTACAGATATGATACAGTATAAACTAAAAAAGTCTTAGAAAACAGATTGACAGCAATGGTTGCATTTTCCAGTCACTGAAAATAGGGTCTAACAGATACATCCTGCGTACTTCGGACATTCATGTAGTTTATCCTCATACGCAATCTCCATGACATATCGCTTACCAGCTGACATCAAGGTAGCGGAGGCTACTGTTCAGATACAATGCATCACATAACTGTTGTATGCCATAGTTTCTTATACCGTGTTTACACATATGTAGTTCAAGAAGGACATGATTTTCTTTCAACATATGCCCTATGTGGACTGTAGACTCTTCCTAAAAATAGATAAAATCTTGATATAATTTTTGAAGTATTACATATCCATTTCAAACATTTTATTTTTTTAAATTTTTATGTATGTTTTGTCTGTATGTGTGTGTGCACACCACATGTATTCAGTGCCTGCCGAGTCCAGAAGAAAACAACAGATTCCCTTGACCTGGAGCTAAGAGGGTTGAGAACTGCCATGTGGGTGCTGTAACCTACTGAGCCATCTCTGCAGTCCCACAGTGTATATTTTTAATTTTATGTGTATGAGTGTATCGCCTGCATATACATAAGTGCACCAGTGTCATGCAATGCCCGCAAATGTCAGAAGAGGGCGTCAGATCTCCTGGAGCTACAGATGGTGGTTAGCCACCATGCTGGGAATTGAACCTAGGTCCTCTGCAACAGCAGCCAGTGTTCTTGACCACTGAGCCCTTTCTTCAGCCCCTATTTTGTTCTTTAATACAGGGTCTTATCTCAGCCGTGACTCTTGGCTCAGCCTCCCAAGAGCTGGAATTACAGGTGTGTGCCACCACATCTGGCCTTAAATTAGCTTATTAGAAAAGATTATATTAAAACTATTAGTCTAGGGCTGAGGAGATGGCTCAGTGGTAAGAGTCCTTGCTAGTCCTTACAAGTATGAGGAACTGAGTTAAAATGCCCAGCACCCATACAGAAGCCAGGCATGGCCTCATGAGCCTGGACCCCCAGAGTTGGCAGGTGAAGACAGGCAGGTCCCCAGAGCTCTGGCCAGCTAGCCTAATCCAAACAGGTTCAGTGTGAGACCTTGTCTCAAGGGAGTAAGGCCAAGAGCAAGAGAACAATAGAAGACACCTGACTTCCTCCTCTGCATGCACCCTCACAGAGATGGACACACACCACAAACACACACACACTTAAAAGACTTGGTATACTACCATAATTTGCATTTGTCTAAAACCACCATTACTGCCCCAAGTCATATCTAGGTGGGAGTGAGGGAGTGAACATGGTCTCACTACATAGCCTAGGCTGGCCTAGGAACTCAGCATCTTCTGCCTTAGCCTCCCAAGAGCCCTGGAATTACAGGTGCATACTATTATGCCCAGTTCCAAATGATATTTTATACCTTAGACATAGATAGCAGGCACTTGTAAAAGGCAGTGATTAATTTTTAAAGAGGATAGATGATTTGGTTTACAAAAACAATACAGTGTCATTTAAAAAGGAAAACCACCAAAACTGTTGCTTACACTTGTATGTTCTAAATTTTCCTGTTCCTAGTGTGTTCCTGCCTTTGCCACTGATCACCATCTTGAAGGCTTTAAGACAAAGTACAAAGACATTTCTCAATCTTGAATGTGTTTTCAAAACACTCAATTCTGATTTATCTTTCTTTTAAAATGATTCCAGTTCCTGAATATGTTTTGCTCTTGATTTTTTTGTTTGTTTGTTTGTTTGTTTGTTTGTTTGTTTTTGAGACAGGGTCTCCCTATAGCCCAGGCTGGCCTGGAACTCACTATGTAGACCAGGTTGACCTTGAACTCACAGAGATCCTACTGGGATCAAAGGCATGTGCTACCACACCCATCTTTGCTCTGTTTTTAAATTTCACAGTCTCCTCACTTCTAGGCAAAAGGGGCGCGTGTGTGTGTGTGTGTGTGTGTGTGTGTGTGTGTGTTCATTTCTCAGTGAGGATTTGAATACTGAGTATTCTAATTTTTTTTAATTTTATTTTATGTGTATGAGTGTATTGGCTGCATATGTGTTAGTGCACCCATGTCATGCAGTGCTCGCAGAGGACAGAAGAGGCAGTTGGATCCCCTGGGACTGAGTTTCCGACAGTTGTTAGCTGCTATGTGGGTGCTGGGATTCGAACCCAGGTCTTTTGCAAGAACAACCAGTGTTCTTAACTGCTGAGCCATCTCTCCAGCCCCATAGTATTCTAATTTTTTTTTTGCAGAAAACTTCATTTTTAATGCAGTTGACATTAAGATGTTTGCACATGAGTTTTTTTTTTTTTTTTATTTTTTAGCAAAGTCAAAGCACAAGTGGACCAAGTACTTTTGGTAAGAAGTCTCTGACATAAGAAGTCTTACAGTTGCTGGGAATGCAGAGGAGTGTGGACAACTATCTGCTGTGATGTAAAAGTAAAAAACAAAAACTCCCTAAAAATTCAACAAAACCACATTATAGCACAAAGCACATGAGCTTGGTAATAAGCAAACCTTTTCAGATGTCACCGTGGACATCAGGTCCCTTTTGCAGGTTCTTGAGCTTGAAGATAAAAGAATTTAAAACTAGATAGCTGGAAAGTTAAGGGTGACTCACTAGAATTAGGCAAAGGAAGCAAGGCAGGCATGCCGAGATCTAGGCTGCTGTGGGAGAAAGAAGATGGAAGAGGGCAGGAGAAAGTAACGATTTGTAACTAAGAATGTGGCAGGCTCGGCAGTAGAGGTGGGAGCAGCTGCGTGGAGGAAGAGGCCTTGGGACTGTAAGCAGGCATCTCATTCAAAGGACAACTCTTCCCATGTTCTTTCTTGTCCTTGGACAAATACATCATGTTTCCACTGTTTAGCTTCAGACTGATCTTTAGGTCAAACAGGATTTCCTCCTCAGAGTCTCTAGCCCTTCCTGTCTAGGAAAGGCAAGCATCATCTGCTCTCTCTATCAGTGATATCCAGAGCCACCGAGGAGTCATCTGTAAAGGGGATAACCAGCCATCCATGCCTTGTGTGCCATATGCCGACATACTCATGCCCCAGGTGGTACCTGGAAAGTAGGTGGTTGTAAATGCCCCCTTCTGCTTGCCTGCCTACCATCTCCTACCATACATGTTAACTTTACCTTTGACTAGAACTGTGGGTAAATTATTTCATCTACAAGGGTCTCAATTTCTACAAAATGAGTGGAATTATGCTTCCCTCACAGTTAACTAAGTTAACAAAGTGTCTTAAGGCAAACCAAACCATTTATATTGTTCAATAGTCTATAATTCTGTAATTTGTTGACTGTTTTCACACACAAAAAATATACACTCAAAGAAACAGCCTAAGTGTCCACCATTGCTCTGCCTGGCACAGAAGATGTAATACAGTTTTGTGTTTGTGACTTGATTACATTTTTAACCTAAGAAGCTTGAAAAGGGGAACTGGAGAGATGGCTCAGCAGTGCCTAATGCTTCTGCAGAGGCTGGAATTCACTTTCCAGCTCCTCCATCAGGTGACTCAAAACCACCGGTAACTGCAGCTGCAAGGGGGTATGACACCCTCTTCTGGCTTCAGGGTACCCAGATATCCAGATAAACAGACACATGGCAGATCACATCTGTAATTGCACTTGGGAGCTAGAGGCAGGGAAGATTAGGAGTTCAAGGCCAGTCTCAGCTACATAGCCAGTTCAAAGACAGGGCCATGTTGTGAGACCCTGTCTCAAAAAGCAAGAGGGGAAGAGTGCATATCCTAACATTCCAAAGGCTGAGATGGGAAGACTGGGTGAAGCCTGGTCTACAGAGTCAGATTTTGTTTCAAACAAAAAGAGAATGTTGCTTATTAAAGGAAGGAATTACTGTCAGAAATTGTAGAGGACGTTAGCCTTATTATTTGCTGAACTGTGACAATTTTCTGGAGTGGCACCTGGTATCTGTATTTTCCAAGCTCCTCAGATGTCAGTTAGTGAATCAGGCACAAGAAGCAGCATCTTAGAGTTTTTATCTTGCTGTCTCATCCTGGTAAGAATGCACAGGTTTGTAAGCTATTTGGGAAGAACAAAGCCCAAAGAAACACAAGATTCTGTTGCTCAGTCACTTAAGGGTGGTGGCTTCATTGAAGAGCAGAAGGCAGACTAGAGCAGAAGCAGGCCAGAGGCAGGGCCTGGGCACCAGACAAGCCTGGGTTCCCATGGTTACTCTTAGATGGCTCTGGGACTAAAGCCATCCCTTGACATTTCAGAGTTTATGCTTCCAGTTTATATACATACATATGTATAATTAAACATACCTATTTCTTCAGGGATATAATACCAAACTTCAAACTTAGCCTTCAAATCTCATTTACTCAGCTGAGACCCTTCCCTGCTGCCTTGCCTCCCCCTGCTTTGATTCTCAGTGCCCTTCCCCATACTCCCATGGCGCCCTGAGCACATCATTCTAAGCTTGTTGGCAAGCATCCTTTATCACCTACTGTGTTTGTTGTCTGTTAGGGGTCTCATTCAAATACCTTGTGAACAGATCACAAATGAAGCAGTTTACTGAATGCTTACTTTGAATTGGGTATTTTGCTCATCTTTTGAAATTTTAAAAGTCTGTTTCTATTGAGGATTCTGGGTATCTTCTTGCACAGATCAGATTTATATACATAAAACAATATAAAACTCCAGGCGTTTTGGTACGGAAAAGTAGAGATAATTCAAAAGGGAAGAGCTATGTAGGCAAAAAAAAAACAAGATGCATTTCCAAATATGAAAATAATGTTTAAAATATGGTTAATTCTTAGTTTTATATCAAGGAACCCTGGGGTACTTAATTTTAAATTATTTACAGTTCTTGGAACTTTAACAGTTCAAAGTTTATTTGAACATTGAACTATTAAGTTCATTGTTTGAAGTACATAAAATGCTTTGGGGATTTGCTTTCCCTTTAGTAGACGTATCTCTTTTTGTTTAGGCCAGTAATAAGAGTTGTTACACCTTCATGTAGGTAAGTGCACCGTGTTGAGCAATGCTCACTGTGGACAGAAGAGACTGTTGGATCCCCTGGAACTGGAGTTCCAGACAGTTGTTAGCTGCCTTGTGGGTGCTGGGATTTGAACCCAGGTCTTCTGCAAGAACAACCAGTGTTCTTAACTGCTGAGCCATCTCTCCAGCCCCTTATTTTATATTTTATTCAGTGGATGTGGGTGTGTGTATGTATGCCACAGTGCACATGTGGAGGTCAGTTGGTTCCTTCTACCATGTGAGTCCCAGAAGTTGAACTTAGGTCATCAGGCCTGGTGCAGGCACTTGTAACTGCTGAGCCATCTTGCCAGCCCAAGTTTGTTTGTTTCTTTGCTTGCTTGCTTGCTTGTTTTTGAAACAGGGTTTCCCTGTAGCCCTAGCTAGCCTGGAACTCACTATGTAGACCAGGCTGGCCTTGAACTCACAGAGATCCACCTGCCTCTGCCTTCTGAGTGCTGGGATTAAAGGTATGTGCCACCACACCTGGCTCAAGTTCTTATTCTTTAGAGAACAATGCCACCCCAAAGGATGTTAAAGAAGCCTTGAAAGAAACAACATTTTCCATTTATGTCCCACAAACATCTAAATGTATAGGCAGGATCAAGTTCAGACTTGACAGACTGAGTCATAGACATTTTGCTGTATTGCTCATGTGTTCAAAGATTTGCATAATGGTTCAGCCACATCAGTATAACCAATAAAACAGCTGATGCTGGGCTCATATCATGGCCTGTAAAACTTTAAGCACAAATAGTTTCATCTTAACTGTTAACACAGGTTTACACAGAACTTGAGTTTCACAAGAAAAGATAACAGGCTGCTTAAATAAGCAACATTCAAAGCATGCAAGTCAAGAATTAATAATTACAGTTTCTAATAGATTCAACTTATAAGCACTGCTTATATATAATTAGGCCAATTCTAAGAACAGTGTATTCACGCACCATAAGCTTCAGTAGGTGCTTAGGCTTAGTCCCATATTGTCATCATTTGAATACATACCTCTTCTCCATATAATATAGGTCGGTTTAGGTTTATTCCCTTGATTGCTTGGTTTTGTGTTAGTACAGTAGCAAACGCTATCACACTTTGCATTCCCTGGAAGCAAGTAAATTCATTAAGGAAACTGACAGTATATAAATTAATCTCTCTACATTAAAACTTCAAGCTAATTATCTGAATTCTGATAAAACTTTTTTAAAAGTGGAAGCATTTCTTCAGTGAACATTTCAGTGAATTATTACCCTGTTCTCTCCACCTGCCTTAAAATCTGCAGCACACATGGAGACTTTCTTAACATTTCTTTTGTGGGGGTAGTGGCATCTGCCTGTAATCCCAGCACTTGGGAGGCTGAAGCAGGACTGTGAATTCCAGGCCAACCTGGGCTACATGGCAAGGCTGTGACTCAAAAAAGCAAAACCAAAACAAACAACAAAAACCCCTGTCATCTGGATGGCCCGTCAACAGTTTTCTGCTGATTTTCTGGGAGAAATACCCGTCTGTGATTTTCTCATAACCAGCTCACTCACCAGATCACAGTCCCCTAGATCTAATTTCTCTAAGGATGAGTTAATTTGCAGCATTGAAGCAAAAAACATGCCACCTTTATTTTCAATCTTATTTCCAGTCATTCTCAAGTACTTGAGAGTTTTATTCTTCTGAAAAAGAAAAAGTCAAAACTTAGTTACTTATTTGAATTCACAAAATTCCCCCAGTTAAATGAGCCAAGAGGCCGCATTACTATTTCAGACTCATGTTTTTTTTTTTTTACCCCCATAGAAAAAGAAAAGGATGTTATTCCTTAAAAGTAACATTCAGTTTCCCATCATAGCTGAAAAGCTACTTCAGTAGTTTAATAGAATGACGAAGAAGATACCTAAACAATAACCAGCAAGTAAAACAGATTTTAATATATTTTCTTTGAAAATTCTGTTTCCTAAGAAAGATGTGTTTATTACTGAGGTGAAATCACACCAAAGTTAACTGTTTAAAACAGTTCATTGGCATTTCCTTCATCATGCCTGTCAAGAAGCAGCTTAGGGAGGAAAGGTGTACTGTGGCTCACAGATCAGAAAGTACAGCCCACCATGGTGGGGAAGCATAGCAGTAGGCACAGAAGATGGCTGGTCCTGTTGCATCTGCAGCCAGGAAGCAAAGGAACCATGGCACTCCTTTTGTGGACATGGGGGCTCACCTTGACTAGCCTTGAACTCAACAATCCTCCCGCCTCTGCGAAGTTCTGGGGTTACAGGAATGCATCACTATAAGCCATCAAAACTGTTGTTTTTAAAATGAGTTCAGAAGTTCTCAGGTAATATGCACACTTTTATAAATTGAAGTGCATTAAAAAATCATTCATGCAAATAACATGAGTTCATACAAAATGACAAGTTGGCATTAACATTTCAATCTGTTGTTTCCATGGTACCAGAAGTTAAAATTCCTAAATGAAATGCTCCTTTGAGGTACATAAGAGCTTACGTGTAGTGCTTTAGCAATCGATTCTCCACCTTCAGGCCCAATATCATTAAACATAAGGTTTAAGTAAGTGATACATGGTTGTTTCTGTAAGGAGAGAAAGAAGCTATTACATTTGCCTTATTGGGAATCAGTTACATGCACATAACATTTAATTAGAAATGTTTAGGCTGGAGGGATGGCTCAGTGGATAAGCACATGCATTGTTCTTCCAGAAGACCCGAGTTCAAGTTCCAGCAACCACATTGGGTGGCTCACAACCATCTGCAACTCCAGCTCCTAGGGAATCTGATACCTCTGACTTCCAGGGGCACCTGCAGTCATGTGCATATACCCACACAGATACATATACACATAATTTTAAAAAATTTTAAAGTGTTTATCTCCAAAAAAATCTTCAAACTAAAGTCCAGCAAAAACAACCATTTAAGGAGAAAGAAAATATCTTTTAAACAATGTAATTGGAATTTAAATGAAAAGACATCAGTCTTACCAAACACTGAAAATATGGGCCTAGTATACAAATTTGCAAAAGGTGACTCAGGTCTCCTGAGACCATATGCAAGTGAGTTTCCATGAATTTCAAGAGCTAGAAATGTAACCTAGAATTAGGACCCTTCATGCTTTTCTAACTAATATTTGCATTTGTGCTATTAAACTAAGTGGTTTCACTTTTCCACAGAACTATGAGTAAATATTCTCTAGCAGAGTCCTACCTGAAGCAGCTTTGCAGCATAGTACGCACCAGTATCACCTATGGTGTTATATCTAACATCCATACCTGAAGGAGAGAGATGAACAGAAACTGATATTCCTTATAAAGAATATTTAACATGCGAAATTGAACAGTGGGCAGTATTCATTCTTAAGTAGACATACCACTGATAGATGACTGATTCTGCAAAACTTTGGAAACAAGCCAAAAGTCTTCACCTGTTAGTCTTTCTACTGGGACCAAGTGATTGTTACCAGCAATGTTTAATAGGATTCCTTCTTTCTTTCTGTCAAAATATAAAAGAACGAGGAGGAGGAAAGCTTTTGACACACAAAGACTGAAACTTCATGTGTGAATAATAACATCACAGATAAAATTTACTGGAACCAAGTATGTACTATGTATGTAGTAGACTTAGAAGTACGTGGCACATTTATCCCAGAGAAAACTACTGGATATTTGACAGACCCTGCAAACCACTTTAATATAACTAATTTCTGCATAATTTAATTTTTAATGCACACATGGAAGTATCCCCACTGCCCTTGTTTCATTGCTGCTGTGATAAAAACAACTTAGAAGAGAAGCGGTTTATTTGAGCCCACAAATACAGGTTATAGTCCATTACTGAAAGGAAGTCACAGCAGCAGCAGGAGCTGGAAGCGGCTAGTCACATCACATCCATAGTCAGAAGAAATAAACCTAAGCATGTGCATTTGCCTGCTCTGCTTGATATCTACACCCTTACGCAATTCAGGAGCACCTACCTAGGGAATGGAACCGCCCACAGTGGGCTGGGTCTTCCCATGTCAATTAATAGAAGTCCCCAAAAGACATGTCACAGGCCAGTCCAAAGTAGAATCTTTCCAGCTGTGGCAAGGTGGTGTCAAGTTGACAAAGCTAACCATCACACACCCCCCTTTCTACATAAGAACATTGAAAACTTTGGGGATTTGCCTGAATTCAACTCACAGGCACTACAGGCAATCTGGAGCCCAGTCTTGAGGACTCCTGGTCTAGTGCTCTTCCCAGTGTCTGACACCATCTCTAAGACTTAACAGTGTCACCCACCTACTTACTTACCTGAGTCAAAAGCTATGTCCTTTTACCAAGCCACTTTCAAATGGGGATAAAATCACTGAGCAGTCCAGGATTTTCACAGACATGTGAATTGGTGGATACCTTTGATACAGATACTTAGCTTCCTTACCCCTTTTTAATTTCTTCATCCATTTCTTGGAGTATACTCGATATAAAAGGCTTAGTTTTCCGGAAGTTTTCTGAGCAAAAATTAGAGTATTGTTCCTGGAGGTCAGCAACACACTCTGGAGTTTGGGAGACATAAATCCATCAATTGTCACATAAATTATCCCAAAGCTTCAACAACAAAGCCTCTCTCAAGGACATGAGTGTGCATGTATAGTGAGAGTGAGCAAGAAGGGGAGAGAGGACTAAGGATAGAGGGGGAAAAGGCTTTGCAATTATGGGCTAAAATGCACCTTCAGAGGACCAGCAGACCCTGGCTCCAATTAGTACCTAGCCTGAAGGTGACATAGAGCTAATCTCTACCACGTGTTGAGCCTGGCAACTGAGGGCAACATGTCCAGAGAAATTGCCTTAAGCAAAATCAAGCATCTAAGGGCAGTGTGCAAAATCAAACTGATTCCAAAAACTTTTCCCACTGTGCCCTGTTAGGTTACAATGACAACGTTTCTTAAATAGCTCCAAGTAGAGACAGTTTTATTCAACAACCTTAACTCCAGAAGGATCTGAAAAATCACAAACTCAGGCTTCTTAGAGACCTCTATGTCATCCCAATTGGATAGCATCTTTTTTATATTATTTTTATTTTATGTGTATGTGTGTATTGCCTGCATGTAAGTAAGTGCACCCATGTCATGCAATGCCCACGGAGGTCAGAAGAGGCTGTTGGATCCCGTGGGACTTGGAGTTACAGACAGTTGTTAGCTGCCATGTGGGTGCTAGGATTCAAACCCAGGTCTTCTGCAAGAACAGTGTTCTTAACTGCTGAGCCATCTCTCCAGCCCCTAAAATATTTTATTTATTATTTTTATTTTATGCATATGAATGTATTGCCTGCATGTATGTAAGTGCACCCGTGCCATACAATGCCATGGAGGTCAGAAGAGGGCATCATATTTCCCTGGAACTGGAGTTAAGGATGGTTCTTAGCCGCCATGTGGGTACTGGGAATTGAACGCCAGTCCTCTGCAAGAGCAGTCAGTGCTCTTAGCCACTGAGCCATCTCTCCAGCCCCTGATAGCATCTTCATCCCAAATTGAGGCCTGGCTCATAAGAGCACTTCACTCACCCCAACCTTCCATTTCCTCTTTTTAAGGGTGGTTCTTTTGTGTGTGGTGGGAGGATGAAGAGGTGTGTGTCCGTCCGTCCAGAAGTTGATATGGGATGTTTTCTTCTACTCTCCACCTTATTTTTAAAAAGATTTAGTTTTAATTTATATGACTGTGAGAGTGTATGCTCACAGGTGTGTGGATGGCTGAGGAGGCCAGAAGAAGAGGAGCTGGAGTTACAGGCAACTGAATCATCTGCCATGGCTAGAAACCAAACTCGGGTCCTCTAGAAGAGCATCAGCTGCTCTTTACTCAGCCATCTCTCCAGCCACCTACACCTTACTTTGAAACAGAGTTCTCTACAAATCTGGAGCACACTGTTACAGCAGGCCATCAAACCCCTGGAATCCCCCCAACCCCCCACTCCAGTGCTGAGGTTTCAGACATGCGCCACCATGCCCAGCTGGAAATCCAATTCAGGCAGGTCATCATGCTTGCACAGCAAGCATTTTACCCATTCAGCCATCACCCCATTCCACCTTATTTTTGGTTCTTTCTAATGATAGACAAATTGGAGTCGAGATCTCTTTTCTCTATTATGCATGCAGCTTTCTTTACCTGGATCATCTGGTGTGGAAGTTATGCTCTTGCTTTCGAAAGAGGCACATGCCAGTGTCTTTACTTCCTGTGTGTGTTTCTTTCAAAACCCACACACTGAGACATCACTGTTTAGCTAGCCTGGATTGTTCAAGCTGGCTTCTGCCTTAAGCTTCTACATCTCAGAAATGTCTTTTGTTGAGTGGCCTTCCACATTAGAGAATTAGAATTTGAGGCATATTTAAATTGAAAGGAAATCAAGTTTTCTTAAAATTTTTAAGATTTATTTCCTTTTTTAAAAAAATTTTCATTGAATTTTTATATATTTCATACAGAATATCTTTTTAAATTTTTTTAATTTATTATTTTTATTTTATGTGTATGCATGTATTGCCTGCGTGTAGGTAAGTGTACCTGTATCATGCAGTGCCCACGGAGGACAGAAGAGGCTGTCAGATCCCCTGGAACTAGAATTACAGACAGTTAGCTGCCATGCGGGTGCTGGGATTCAAACCCAGTCTTCTGCAAGGACAACCAGTGCTCTTAACTGCTGAGCCATCTCTCCAGGCCCTCATACAGAACATCTTAATTATCTTTATACCCCCTTCCCATAACCTCCCCACACTTGAATTCATACATTCTGCCATTTGTGTTAAGGCCTATCATGTCAAGTTAGTGTCCCCAGATGTACCTCAGTGCAAGTTCATCCACTGAAGTCTAGATAGCCGATCTAGAATCCCTCCCTTTAAGAAGATCAGCTCTTCTTCACCCAGCAGTAATCAGCTGCCAATAATTCTTTGACTAAGATTGGGGCCTGCTGTCCATTTCCACAGTTCTATGCTAGGTTTTTGTCTGCTTGAGTTTGCATGGGTCTTGTGCATGCTGACACCATTGCTGTAGGTTCCTATGAGAAGAGTTCCAGGAGCCTGTAGACTCTATTCCCATATGGTTATGCACCTCCTCTCTGGTTTTTACAATCTTTCTGCCCCCTCTTCCACAGTGGTCCCTGAGCCTTGGGTGGGTGGATTTTAATAAAGGAGTTCTCTCCAAGGACCCACACTCTGTAGACTCTTATTCTCTACATTTTGTTCACTTGTGACCTATTGTTTTCCTGGCCCTCTGTTGCATGGGGGAGCTTCATTGATGAGAATCGAAAGATGCATTAATATTTTCTTCATCCCTTATTCTATGTTCCATGAGCCTTAGGTATAGAGAGCAGAGAAGCCTAGACGTGGGGTGATGGGATGGACTGCAGGTAGTCCATCCTGTAGGGGGATGGGCACAGCATGATTTGGCGAAGCTCACCACCACACAGAGGCCAGATCCAGGCACTCTCAGGCAGTGTTCTAAGGTCTGAGCCCCTAATGTAGGGCACAGAAATCCTGGCCTGGCACAGTGGGAGAGGCCACATGGTCCCAGTGTAGGAGGTTAGACAACGCATGATCTGCAGAAGCTTACTACCATGCAAAGGCTGGGTCCAGGTATTCTCAGGCAGTCTGCTAAGGTCTGTGCCCCTACTATAAGTCAGAGAAGTCTAGACCTGGCACAGTGGGACTTAACATTTATTTTATAGCTAGATATGGTGGTGCATGGCTTTAAATCCCAGCACTTGGAGGTAGAGACAGGTTAATATGAGATTGAAGCCATCCTGGTCTACATAGTGAGTTCTAGGTCAGCTGAGACTACAGGAGATCCTGTCTCAAAAAAAAAAAAAAAAAAAAAAAAAAACCCCAAAGACATTAGTTTGTTTTTTGGGTTTTTTTGTTTGTTTGTTTGTTTGTTTTTTTGGTCTTTTCTTGAGACAGGGTCTCCCTGTAGGCCCGGCTGGCCTGGAACTCACTATGTAGACCATGCTGGCCTTGAGCTCACAGAGATCCATCTGCCTATGCTGGGATTAAAGGCATGTGCCACCATGCCCAGCTAGATTTTTTTTTTAATTTAAAAAATGACTTAAGACATTCCAGTTTGGAAATTTCGGTATAAAAATGTATGTTCATCAGTATTCCTACTGACAAAGAACCACAACCAAGGTCTGGAGGCACTTTGTGTGTATGTTTAAACAAAATTGGAATCTTTGGGGCTAGTTTTATGTCTTGCCTTTTCAGTTAACATTATATCATAAGCAGTTCTTTCATATCTACTCTAAAAAATACTAATGTCCAGAGAGTGCTTCATGTAGACAAGCACACACACTGAGGCCCCTCATCTATTTTAGGAAACTTTCCTGTACTTAAATAATATAGTAGCACAACCTTTCCAAAGCTGTCTTTTCGGGATTGTCAAATATCCCCCCACCCAAAGAATGGGTTTTATTTGTCATATAAGTTACAAAGTGCTAAATCAAAGTTAAACCGAGTCCTGTCTCAACACTTCTCAGGACATTTAAAACACTCAGGTGCACAAAGACTGTTGGAATTGCTGAGCTTGGAGGGGAGGCAGAAGAATGCTGCCTTCCTAAGATTTATATGACTTCAGCACTCACGGGACACAAAAGTATATCAGCATCCTGGAAACAGTCAGTGTGTCCTGAACATAAGTCGGGGCTGGGCCCTGAAGGCTACTAATTTCCTTGGATTGCAGGAATACTGGGCTGATGAGGGTTGCCGCCACAAGGGCCACAGAGAAGACATGAAAGTTGTGCTTTCCAGTGCACAGAACAGGCAGCAAAGTCATACCCTTGGAAATCCAAACTGCCTTCCTCTCATCTCCAGAGCAGGCTACACAGGGGGTAGGACAAGGGCAGTCGGTGAGAGCTCAGCTTTCAGCCTCTTCTCAGATGGTCAGCCTCATCTCCAGAACTGGTCTCAGCACCCCTGTCTTTGTCCTACTATGTCCTTATTATCTGCTCTCTGGACAGCTGAGATCAGACACTTCCAGGAACGCTGAGCTTGGCTTACCATCTACCAGTATCGCTTTTCATTCCTTCCAGGAGCACCTGAGCTGAGGGGTTAACTCAGAACAAGCAAATCATTAAAACCATATGTGCTGGGCTATTTACAACGGGTTTGTGCAGACTCCTTCCTACAATACGGGGTACAAAGGTGCCTTTACAATATGGAAACCCAAGTGCCCCATCTGTGCCCTTCCATCCTGAAACACCTTCACAAGAAGCAGTTGTGAGCCCATGAAACATCCCTGTTGTCCTAGGTGTGGTGTGGCCAACAGGGATCTGGTCCACTTATTTTGGAAAGATATTCTTATATATAGCCAAGCAACCAAGTACCAGGAAATCCCAAGACTGAAGTCAGACAGCCACCTTAACCAGAAATTCTTAAAGCTCAAATGTCCTCATTAAGCTAAAAGCACAGCGTGAGACTATCACAGGTGCAGTGGGGACTCAGGCCCTTGTCGACGAGCTCTGTACTCATCAACACACATTTTAAAGCAAGCATCCCAAACTAAAGTGGGGGCACAGGCTGTAGTTCAGGGTGTGCAACTTGTTTTGACATAGAGCCCAGAGCATTGACAAGCCAAGCAAACGCTCAACCAGAGCTATGAACTACACCCTCCCTTTATGCTAACTTGTTACAGTCAAGGGCGCAGAATTATTCAAAACGCAGGTGGACGTACGGTACGTGTGCCAGTGTCAGAATGAAACCCATTATGGTATACGCCAATTTAAAAATGAGCAAATAGATGACGAGATAAGAAGAAAAGAAAGCGTGGGTGGTAAACCCGGAAGTTTCTCCGGAGCCTCCTGTTTATATGATGCGGTTCCCTGGGGCTTCCACAAAACCCAGTGGAGAAGAGCCCTGGCCACACCTTCCCCAGACCCTAAGAACAAAGTGGCAAGCACACACTCCTGATACCAGGCAGACCCGCCAGGGCTAGGGGCGCCCCAAAGGTCTGCCCACAGCCCGGGCTCCCACAGCTGCGACCCTCCGCCGCAGGACCGCGTCCCGCTTACTCTCCGGGGCCTCTGCGGTGCTGGACTGCTGGGCCGCGGGGGCGGCGGAGGGGGCGAGTGCCAGTTCCAGCCGGTCCGCCTGACGATGGGACCACCTCGGCCCGCAGCTGAGGCGGCGGTGCTGCCATGGCAACCTCTCGCGTCACGCTCCCCGAGGGAGGAGAAAGAGGCGGGGCCACAGTTGAGAAGCCTCCGTGGAGTAGTTCAGCCTACCTCCCCTCCTCCCCGGGTTGGGGGTACCCTGAGGGAGGAGCTTCCGAGGACTGGCTGCTTGGCTGCTGTTCTTAGGACCCGACTACAAAGCCGACGGTGACCCAGCCTTCTTCCGAAAGGACGCGCAGGCCTGCGAGGGCCAAGCGAGGAATCCGACGGTGAAGGACATGGAATAGGGGAGCAAAAAACGATTTTGTGAAAGGGTGGAAAACATCTGGGAGGACTTCCTGGCGAAGGTGTCTGGATTAGTCCGAGATAGCCCGTTCAGGGGCCAGGCTGCCGTAGCGCACGTACAGTCAGTACCTAGACTACCGAGGCAGGCAGGGTTAGATCCACGTGGAGTCTGAGGACTATGACTGTAAAGGGGCGGGGCTCTAGGGGCCCTCAGATCCCGGCCCGCAGCTGGAGGATGAATTTGGAGAACTTAACTGTTGAGTCGTTTCTGAAACAGCAGTGGCAGCCTGGGAGAGACCACAAGGCCTCTGCTACAGCCGGAGACCAGGGAGGCCGAGAGGTATTACAGAGTGGCATGCTAGGATGTGGTACTTGGACAAAAAAGAAGGGCTGGAAGAAGCGGGTGGGTGGGGTGAAGTACTCCAGAATCAGCCAGACTCCTTGCAGGAGAGAGTGGATGAAGACCTGCAGGGTAAAATCAGTTAAAAATTGGGTATAGTGAGGCACGCCTTTAGTCTCAGCACGTAGGAGGAAGAGGCAGGCTGATGTCTGTGAGTTGGAGGCCAGCCTGGTCTATATAGTTTCAGGTCAGCCAGGATTACATAGTGAGACTTTGTCTCAAAATGCACACACACACACACACACACACACACACACGTTAAAGAAAAAAATATCTGAGTTCCCTTCATACCAATGCACGAGAAATTCCAGCTCAGTATTCCCATCATCCCCACTGCCGCTGGAGTTCAGGCAAGGCAGAAACTTTGAGTGTCTTGTGAGACTTAAGCTTTAGGACCTTTCTTCGTGGGAAACATGGCAAAATGCAAAAATGTGTTCATTTATCCCTTAGACTCCCAGTAACATTGAGGAGCAGCTTGGTAACAAGTCAGGTTTTCCTCTACCTTTTCCTCTCCAATTATTTTGAATTAAGAAGATACAGAAAGGGGAATGGCTCCTGGAGATGCTTCTCCAGGGGAAGGGAGAGCAAACAGTACAGAACCAGGCCAAGACTCTAGACAGCAAGCTCTGTGTGCTTTTAGTCCAGCCTGCACCTTTCTCCAAAGCCACTTGGGCAGTGTCTAATGGAGAGCTGACTCTGACTTAAGATCACTCCAGACTGGGGTCACCCCTGCTGGGCCACATGCAACTGTTAAAAGTTGTTTTGGTTTTCCTCGACTGGTTCTGGCTCTCCTGTCCCAGAAGGTGCCACCCCACCCCACCCAACCCATGAAAGCTTGTTCCTCTGCCTGCCAGCCCCACCAGCCATGGAACAATCTACCCACTGGTCTCTACTTATGAAGAAAAAATGCTTATCACTAGATTGTCATCCCCTTAGCCTGCTTTACACCTACAACTCTGGAGACTTTATGGAAAAATATGAAATAGGGCTTTTTCCTAATGTTTTCTAGGGATTGTGGTAGCGGCAATGATCCTTTGCAACCTTCTACAATCCATTTGAAAGAGAATAAAGCATTTTAAAAGATTTTTAAAATTAAGTGTATGTGTGTGTGCGCACGCGCACGTGCGCGCACCAGTGCAAGTGAGAGGCCAGAAGAAGGCATTGGATCCCCCTGGAGCTGGAGTTACAGGCAGTTGTGAGACCCCTGGTGTGGGCCTGGGAACCAAACTCTGGTCCTCTGCAAGAGCATTATTGCTCTTAATTGCTGAGCCATCTCTCCAGCACCAAAACAGGCATTTTTTAAAAACTGAAATTGGAGTGTGTGTGTGTGTGTGTGTGTGTGTGTGTGAACACGTGCACAAGCCCACCAGAAAGAGGATCCTACTAGACATTAATTCTTATCCTACCATGAAACACAGAAATCTAAATCTTATGTTCCAGAATACTTTCAATAATTTATTCAATTAGGTTTCTTTTACTCTCCAGGTTCATAAATCTGGGGGCAGGGGAATTCTGATTCTTGTTTTTCCTTCCACAGTATTTCAGATTTTGAGTGTTGAACTTTACTTCAAAATCATGTCAAAGGAGATACTGAAACCAGAGCCTTTTCCCAAAACTCGTCAGAGAAATGACCCGCACTGGATCACCGATAGAACATTCTTCATTGACGGTTCCAACCAGAGTTTGATGACCGTCCCGTCGGAGATTTTGGCCTTGAAAGATTTGGAAGAGTTGCACTTGGAAAATAACCTGATCGCAGAAATTCCCCGGGATATTCAGCATTTAAAGAATATCAAGGTCCTCTATCTGAATAAGAACAAACTGCAGAGCCTGTGTCCAGAGCTGGGGACGCTCAGCAACCTGGAGGGCCTGGACTTGAGCGGCAACCCCCTGCTGGCCTCCTCGCTGCCGGCGCTCAGCCGCCTGCGCACCCTGCGCGAGCTCCGGCTCTACCGTGCCGGCCTGGGAGAGGTTCCGGGCGTGATCTGTAAATCCCTCCATCACCTGGAGCTGTTTGGGCTGGAGGGGAACCAGCTGGAACATCTGCCGGAGGAAATCGTGAACCAGACCAAGCTCAGGGAGATCTACCTGAAACAAAACCAGTTCAAGGTTTTCCCTCGCGAGCTCTGTGTTCTCTGCAACCTGGAGATCATTGACCTGGACGAGAACAAGCTGAAGGCCATCCCAGAAGAAATCGGGCATCTGACGAAGCTGCAGAAGTTCTACGTGGCGTCCAACCACCTGTCCTTCCTGCCGGAGTCGCTGAGCCAGTGTAGCAAACTGTCGGTGATGGACTTGTCCCACAACTTCCTCCACTCGCTCCCGCTCACCCTGGACCAGCTCACCGAAATGACCGAGGTTGGCCTGAGTGGGAACCGCCTGGAGAAGTTGCCGCGCCTCGTCTGCAGGTGGACGTCGCTGCACCTGCTCTACCTGCGCGACACCACCCTGCGCGGCCTGCGGCGCTCCTTCAAGCGCCTGGTCAACCTGTGTTTCCTGGATCTCAGCCAGAACCACATGGACCACTTCCCGATGCAGCTCTGCGCGCTGAAGAAGCTGGAGATCCTGGCCATGGATGATAATAAAATAGGACAGGTACTGCGTCCGGTCCCGGCTGTCTGCGCCTCCTAAAGGCCCTTCCTACCCTAATTGCTGTGGTTCTACTTCCAAACAGCAAACCGAACCTGCTAGAGGCGGAAACCCGGGGGTTATCAAAGGTTTCCCACAAGGTGGCGCTTTACGTTCTTTCTTCCGGCTTACAGCAGCAATAGCTGTAACTGCCTGCTGTTTTCTTAGGACATGTGATGGTAGTCACTGAGCCATAACCTGTAGTGAGTTGTCCTCAGCCATCATCGTGTTAAGGAGTCAGAATTCCAACCCGGGCTTTTCCGAGAATACCTTAGTAATACTGCTTTCATGGGAAGCTGAAAGAACAGGTTTGTTCCTGGAGAAACTCTCCTCGTGAGTAGGGTGAGTGTTCACATGGGTCATCACAGCACTGTTATGTATCCGGTTTGGAAGACACGCAGCATCATGTGTGGGGAGAAGACAAATAACTGTCATTTTCCTAAAATGCAATACTACACAACACTGGGAAGCTGCCTGAAGCTGCGTGTGCTAATGTGGAGACGCCTCAAAACTATGGTGCTCATTAAACAGAAAATACTTCGTCAAAACGCTTATTCATCGTTGAGTTGCACAAAAATTACACATGTAGAGGCCAGCAAGATGACTCAGTGGGTAAAAGGACTTGCTGCCAATGAGTTTGGTCCTGGGACCCAAATTGTGGAAGGAGAGAATTGACCTCTACAAGATGTCCTCTGACCTCTGCATGTGTGCGGTCCACACATGCTCACATGCATACGCACACGCATAAATAGAACCTTTTTAATTGCACATATAAGTAAACACATATGCATACATACCACACATTTTTATGAGTATTTATAATACAAGTATGAAAATGTAACAAAAGTATAAAAAAAAAAACCTCACCAAGTTCCTGAGAGTAACTGCCTTTGGGAGGAGGGATCAAGAAAGGCAGTGAGGGGCTGGAGAGATGGCTCAGCAGTTAGAATCACTGGTTGTTCTTGCAAAGGACCCGGGTTTGGTTCCCAGCATCCATATGGCAGCTAACAACCATTCTTAACTCCAGTTCCAGGGGATCTGATGACTTCTGGCCTCCATGGGCATTGCACACATGTGATGTGCTTACATACATGCACATTCATAAACATAAAAATCAACGCTAAATAAATAAATAAATACGGCAATATGCTCAGTGCTTGCCTGGTATGTGCAAGGTCCTGGTTCAATTACTAGGACCAAAATTAAACACATAAATAAAAGCACAATGAAATGGGGATCATAGAGGAACTCAATTTTAATTGTAGTGTGTTGTGTTACTCATTAAAAGTAGACATGCTCATTTTGTTTGTTTGGTTTGGTTTCTGACTTATTTTCCTGGTGGTGAGTTTTTGTTTTTTTTTCCTGAGCCTTTAACTCGAGGGGTGCTTTAAGGTCCCAGGGCCTTAACCACCTGGGATTACAGGCATGTACCACCATACCTGGCTGCTGTGGGATTTTAAAACTGTCTCTCAGAAAACAAATCTTTTAGTGTAAACTTGAAGGTTTATGAAGAGACTCTAAGATTTAATTTCTACTGAGAGAGCAGCCTACCTAGGAGAATTTTCCTGTTTCCAAAAGAGCCCATACTTGTATTAGACATTGCTGATGTAAAAAATTCCATTCAGGGAGCTAGGGGGATGGCTACATAGATAAAAGCATTTTCCCCCAAAGCCTGATGATTAGAGTTCAGATATGCAGACTCCACATTAAAAAACGTAGTCACTCACATCTGTAATCCAGCACTTCTACCTGGACATGGGATGTGGAGACAGGAAAATCACCTGGGAGCAAGCAGGCCAGCTACCCTGGAGTACACAGTACAGTACCAAACAAGAGAGACCCTGCCTCAAAAACAAGGTGGAAGGCAAGAACCAACTTCCAAAAGCTGTCCTCTGACTTCCACATACACACTACGCTACACACATGGCGCATATGTGCACACGCGCACACACACATACACACACACACGTAAAGAAAAGCAAAAAGGAATTTGTGGCAGTGCTTGATGCTTGACAGACACCACATTATGGCGATGGTTGAATAAAGACAACCTGAGACAACCGAAAGGGGACCCAGACTGCTTGGAGAACCTGTTCCTTCAGATTTCTTCTGGAACTGTGCTCTCCAGAAAAGGTTTTGCTCTCTCTGTATTAAACCTGTACATCCAACATGAAGTTGGGAAGGAAAAGAGGAACTGTCTTATCAGAGGATTATGTCCCTCTGACCCCTACTGACCTAGGATAGCACACACAGCCACAAACAGATGTTGTCAACTTAATTCCATGTACCATTTGCAAGACAAATGGGATAATGACCTTGTTGCTTCTAATGAATATTTGAATAACCACTGTTTGCAGTGCTTGGTATGAAAAACATACATATAGTCATACATACATACAGTCATACATTGTTCTAAGTCTGGGGCAAGGAAGAGTCATGAAGGATTAAGCTATATGTTTAGGTGACAAGAGGAGCCCCAGGCCTAGCACATAGTTTTACATTATAAGCTGAGATTGTGTTAAATGATCTCAAAACATGAGATTAACTTTTTGGTGCATGCTTAGGTAAAGCAAGTCATCTGTTCAGAGCAAGCCCCTATTGTAGAAGTCATCCTTACAGAAATTCCTTTAAGTGGAGAAAGTGTTTTATTCTACAGTTGAAGTGACTCAAAATGTAGTGTTCTTGGAATGGATAACACATTATCTTAATTCCCATTAGGTCATCAATGATATCTAATCTCTTCTTGAGAGAAACTTTAAACTCTCACAGGAGAGACTCACTGTATGTTGCTTGCTAACAAAGATAAGCCTGAATTTCACCCTAAGCCAGACTGGGCTAAAATGTAGACATGTTAAATATTATTGTACTGAACATGAAAATCTTGATGTACCGTTGCTTTCTGATTTTAGTTTTTCTGATACTTTTTGTGTGCTTTCTTCTTCCTTAATTTCCTCTTGTGCTATAATTTGTAACCTCCAGGATCTTTAAAAATATTTAATTTATTATTTTTATTTTATGTATATGAGTGTATTGCCTGCATGTATGTAAGTGCACCCATGTCATACAATGCCTGCAGAGATCAGAAGAGAGTGTCAGATCCTCTGGAACTGGAGTTAGGGATGGTTGTTAGTAGCTATGTGGGTGCTGAGAATTGAACCTGGGTCCTCTGCAAGAAAAACCAGTGCTCTTAACCAGTTAGCCATCTCTCCAGCTCCTACCTCCAGGATTTTTTATCTTCTTTATTGTATAGGGCCCTTAAGCCAGCTTTTTATCTCTCCCACCCCAAAGACTCAGCTGATTGATTTCTGGCTCTTGAAGCCTGACTAGTAGCTTTTTCTTGTCTAACTAAATATAAAAATAGCTGACTTTCAATGTGTCTCCAAAGGGATTTTACTTGTATAGTGCACTATTACTAAAGGGGAAAACAAAAACAGCATCTTCAACCTCAAAATGGTTACAGATCAATTATAGTATCAGAAATAAATTGCTCTAAGTTGATGCTCTGCAAAGTTTCTGTATGTCGAGATTTAATTTTTTTAAAAAATTGTTATTGCGTGTGCATGATGAGTATACATGTGTGTCATGGCACACGTGTGGAGGTCAGAGGACAGCTTTGTGGAGTTAGTCCTCTCCTTCCACCTTTATGTGAGTTCTTGGGTTCGGGCCCAGATCCACAGGCCTGTGGGACAAGCACCTTTATCTGCTGAGCCATCACACAGCCCCTCTGTGTCCATATTTATTTCCATTAAGCTTTATCATGAATTGATGAAATGGAATAATAGGTCTTGAATATGCTGGAAAAACTCATGAGCATTCACTGTGCTCTGAACATAGCTAAACCAGTGAGTTAAGCAAACAATGTGTGGGATTGCCAGATTGTAATGAAAAGACTTGGTTTAAAGTCTCCTCCTTTTGGGTTTCACTGAACACAGGTGGTTGGTATGGACCAGAGCCAAGTGCTTCATGAGGCATTTTAGAATAGCGAAGGAGAAAAGCTTAAACTCAGTTTCTCTGGAGACCAACTTGATCTGATTTCTTTAAAAAAAAAAAAAAAGAGAGAGCGAGGGAGAGAAAAAACTGTCTTCTGGAAGTTTTAAGTTTCGCAACACTTTTAAAGTGTGTTAGTTGGGCATTCAACTTACTTTACCAATGATTGGCTGTACTCCTTGAGTATATAATGCAACTTTTATGACAGGAGTTAAAAGAACATTTCTTAGAAGTTTTTCTCACCTCAAATATGGACGCAAGTCGAGGGCTTGTTTTTTCTTGCTCTGAGCTTTGTTAGGTGAGGAAATGATTCTTGGAAATGTAGCAGCCATCTTGCTCTTCAGTAGAAAGTGAGAAACTCTGAGGCTAAGGCAGAAGGATAACAGATTGGACTGCATAGTGAGACTCTGTGTCAAAACAAACAAGCATTAGAAAAAATAGAGAGCGAGAGTGAGAGCGAGAGAGAGCAAGAGTCTGATTTCTTTAAAAAAAAAAAAAGAGAGAGAGAGAGAGAGAGAAAACTGTCTTCTGGAAGATTTCAGTTGTGCAACACTTTTACAGAGGCTTAGTTGGGTCAGTCTTAAAGTGTGCTTCCTTTTCCAATTGTGGGTGGCCATCATTCCCCATTCATGAGCTATGGAGAGGTGTGGCGGGGGGGAGTGCCAAGCAGAGCTAAGGTCGAACCAGCATGAAAACTAGGATAGCAGATTAGGGACAGTGAAGAGGAAGACACAGGAAACAGAGGAGATTCCCACTTCCCACTTAGGAATAAAGTTAGATAAGGAGTATGCAGTTAAAGTTTTGAGAGTTGAGTATGGTGGTACATGCCTTTAATTCCAGCACTTAGGAGGCAAAGGCAGGTGAATTTCTGTGAGTTTACAGGGAGGACCCTGTTCCAAAAAGACAAAAAAAAAGGTATTGAGATGAGCAGCTGGAATTTTTTAACAGTGAAAAATCTCTGTTGCACAGTTGGAAAAGTGGTTATATCACAGTTAGAGTTGAGTTTTTTTCCATGAAATTCTAAGGGCCAGAAAAAGAAGAGAGATGAGCCTGACCGTGATGCAGGCTGTGGCTTGATAAAAAACAAAAATCTGATGATTAGAGATCTCCATGGGAAGCAATGAGCTCCTCTCTCTAGGAAATGTAAGAAAGAAAGGACCGCAGGGCTGCCTGCCAACACACTCAACCATTGTATTAGACTGTTGGAACACAGAACCTTCTCAAGGCCTTCTAACTTCTTTTAAGCTCTAGTAGTCTGTGAAATACTTCCTGAATAATATGCAAAAGTCTTGGTGTTCAAAGGAAGGCAGAACACTACAAGCCAGGATCCCAGTATCTACACTGAATACTCTGATCAGAAATGGTGTGAATGTGTGTTTGCCTCCATCATTCAACAGCAGCTTCAAAATTGCCAGGTTAAAAAGCCTTTTAGCATGGAAAAAAGTGGGCATTGTCAAAACTAAATGAATCAGTTCTAGTAATTAGATGTGCTGGATAGCTTTAGTCATCAATTTGATATATCTGGATTGAGGGAGCCTCAATTGGGAAATTGCCTCCATTCGACCGGCCTTTGGCCGTGTCTGTGGTGGGTATTTTTTTGATTTTTGAGTGATGTGAGAAGGCCCAGCCCACTGTGGGCAGTGCCACCCCTGGGAAGGTTGTTCTGTATTACATAAGAAAGCAATCTGTGCATGGGCCAGTAAGCAGCATTCCTCCATGGCCTGTGCTCCAGCTCCTGCCTCCAAACAGTTCCTGCCTGAGTTCCTACCTTGGGCTCCTTAATGAACTGTGACCCAGGAGATGTAAGCTGAATAAACCCTTTCCTCCCCAAGCTAGAATTGGTCAGAGTGTTTGGTCACAGCAATTGAAGGCAGACTAGAGCATTAAACTTACTGCAAATCTTCATGGCATGTTGTAGATGACACCTCGGCAGTGACGTAGTGCAGTGTGCAAAAGTGAAACGCAGAGGCCAGCAGGGCTCCCAGGGTCGGGGCATTTCTAGGGTCACATAACTGAAAAGAAGAGTGTGCACAGATTTGCAAAAGAAGCAAGATAGCTTCCCTCAGAGCAAAGTGACAGATTACAGAGGGAGAGCCTGTCAAGGTCGACGTGTAGTGTGTGGCGAGGTTATTTAAGGGCCCCACTTGTTCTGGACTTCCTTCTAAGGGGTTCAAGAGGGTGAGGGGCTGGTTACTACGGGTGGAGTTTGGTGGTTCTCATTCTGTTTGATAAATTAGGTCATATATCCAGTTTTCCTACTGCACATGTCCCTTCCTATAATGCGTTTGATTTTAATCATAAGCAAGCCCAATTATGCACAGGAATAAGATGTTAAGTATGGAATTCTCCTTAAAATGTTACTACAGGACATGGTTTTGCTTTACTTTGCATGCACCCAAAACTAGTTCAGGCCAGGTTGGTCCGTCTCTTCCTCAAACCAGATATGTTGGGAATATAATTGAATAGGAACTATGTAAATTTGATTGTTACCAGAGGTGGGAAATTTTATGCTATTGCATAAATTGTCGTCTCAAATGCAGTGGAGGTTCCAGGAGGTTCTAAGATTGCTTGACGCATTATTTGGAGAGGGGCGTGTGTAGAATAAATGCAGGTATAGGAGAACAAGGCTGCCAAGAACATTATTACGGAAGAACTATGTGCCAAACCCCAAACCAAACACAGCCCCAGGCTAAATGTCTTCCGTGCTTGCCTGTGTCAGCAAGAATTAAGTGCAACCCCAGAATGCAGGTTTTCAAAGTATATACACTAAGTATGTAAACAGACATGGAAACTTTCCCTCAGTAGGAGATACTAAGCAGTTCTACTTTTTGTTTAATAACTTGCTTTAAAACCAAAAGCTCAACTTCTTTTTCAACCGTTGAAAACAATCTCAACATTATACTTCCAGTTACCATCGGAACTGGGCTCACTTTCAAAACTAAAGATACTTGGACTAACAGGAAACGATTTCACATCCTTCCCAGAGGCGATCTTTTCCTTACCGTCTCTGGAGAAATTATACATTGGACAAGATCAGGGAACCAAGCTTTCCTATGTGCCAGAAAACATTGGGAACCTACAGGTAAGCCTTCCCAACTAACAGCCAAGAAGCATACACCATTTCCGCCCTCCCCTACTGCCTGATACTAAAGAGAGGATGAGGTGGTTGGCATTCCCCACACTGCGCAAGAAGGCATCTGTATTGGGTTTTCAGATCCAGACAGAGAGCTTCACATTTTGAGGCTTTCGTTGTCCCTGACCAAGTCTAAGCCCCACGACCCTTTGCTGTTACTGTTCATCAGTATCTTTTTAGACAGTTATCTTTTATTCTCTAAAAATATCAGGCATCTTTACAATACATCTTGACCCCATCCACCCTCAACGTACTTGTCTATTCCCCTCAGACACCCTCCAACACACCCTTCCACCTTCACATCCTCTCCTTTCTTCTTTAACCCAGAGTCGGCTAGTGCTCCTGCTGGAGTGTTAACTGACCTTGGCTTGGATTTTGTGCAAGTAATCACAGCTGTTGTGCGTTCATAAGTGTAATGGCATGTCATGTTCAGAGGACAGCATTTCACAGCATTCTTCCCCTTCCTCTGGCTCTTACTTTCCACCCCCTCTTCCATGAGATCCCTAAGCTTAATGGGATTGATATAGATGTCCCACTTAGGAATTCAAAAGACACTTATTTTCAGTACTTTGACCAATTATGAATTGTGGCATCAACACTGCCCACTTCAGAAAGAAGCTTTTCCAGCCAAGGTTGAGAGCAGCACTAATCTATGGATGTAAACATTTGGAAGGCAGTTTGACAACATAACCATTTAGCAAAACAACAGTAGTAGGTTATCTCCTTGGGTCTTTGACCAGTTTTACAGTACCAGGTATAAATTGCCTCCTGTGGAACAGGCCTCATACCCTATCAGAAAAGGGCTGGTTACCCCCAGAGCCATCATGCCACTATTGCACCAGGATCTCTTCAATATGTCTTTCTACTATTGTATTTTGGTATGGTTCACATATTTACTTTATTATTTTTATCTTATGTGTATGAGTGCGATGCCTGCATATATTCAAGTGCATCCATGTAGTGTAATGTCTGTGGATGTCAGAAGAGAGTGTCAGACCCCTTGGAACTGGTGTTAAGGACAGTTGTTAGCTGCCATGTGGGTGCTGGGATTTGAACCTGGATGACCTGCAAGAGCAGCCAGTGTTCTTAACCACTGAGCCAGTTCTCCAACTCCTGTATTTTGGTATGTTTTATTTGTAGAAATTGACTCATATTATTTTCCATTTAATTTCCACTTTTGTGTGCACTTTGAAAATTATGCTGTTTAGAAGTTAAAGTACCCCATCAGTGACATGGTTGGGAGCCTGAATTTTGATACTGAGGTTAACATGTAAGGAGAATGCGATGTGAGTTTCTTACTTGGTGGTGGGTGATAGTTCTATGCTGAATCCTAGCAACACAACAAGATAACTTTATCCACAGCCTTCTTGTTGTCTTTGTATCTGTATTCTTTAAAGAATCACTTGTGTTCCCCTTACTACACTTTTAATGACAGTAAAGTAAGACCCACGTTTCCTTCATGATCCCTAGTCAGGAACTAAGCAGTGGCACAAATAATACAGAAGTCCAATTCCTAACTCTACCTTGCTCTGCCCTGAGCTCACAAAACACCTTTTCATCATCTTGTTCCTAATACAGGACATATAGTAATCACAGCGTAAAATGCAAACATTAATTTTTTTCACCCAGCAAAGTTGAAAGTAGTTACATTGACTGCCTCCAAAACCATTGTCTATGCATTTTGGCTACTTTAGACGATTTGGGGTAATATATGAATTCATGAGTGTTATAGCCATATTAAGTTCAGAAGATAGTATTTCACAGCACTCCTTCCCACCTTCCAGCTCTTTCTTTCCACCCACTCTGCCAGGATGATTGAAGAACTGTGGCAACTGCAAAAATAAGTATCTATTGAGGTGGAACAAATGGTCCATGCAGAAAAACTTGAGACAGGGTCTCCCTATAGCCCCAGCTGGCCTGGAACTTGCTATGCAGACCAGGCTGGCCTTGAACTCACAGTGATCCACCTGCCTCTGCCTTCCGAGTGCTGGGATTAAAGGCGTGTGCCACCACACCAGGCTAGATTCAAAAGTTCTAATAAAACGAAGTTCTAATGGGAACTAAATCTAATGGCTTTGCTCAAAAGCAATTTTATTTCTTGATTTTCATCCTTTAAATATTGTAGCAGTTACTATTCCTGTCCCTATGGCCAAAACATCTGACAAAACTGTTCAAGGGAGGAAGGTTTTGTTTAGGCTCACAGTTTCAGAGTAATTTCAGTGTACCCCAGAGGGGAGGCAGGCATCAGGTAGTCTGCCCATGGCATCAGGAGTATGTGGCAAAGGCCCCTTCCTCATGGCTGACCAAGAAGCAGAGAGAGCTAGATCAGAGCTAGGTACAAATATGACCTCCAAAGACCAACCCCTAGTGGCTTACTTCCACGGCCATGCCCCACTGCTTAAATGTTCTACAAGCTTCAAAAAGCACCACAAACTTGGGAATAAGCACTAAAAACATGGGCCTATGAAGGACATTTCAGATTCAAACCATAACAAGTTATGTTTCTCCCTTTGTCCCAATGCATCATGTCCCCGCTGAAGATGTGTGGCACTCATGGGTGATTTTGGTTATTGTAATTCACTCATCAAGGTAAGGATCCTTATGACATACTCTCATGTTATTTCAGAGTCTTAAAGAGCTGTACATAGAAAACAATCATTTGGAGTACCTGCCCACATCCTTGGGATCAATGCGAAACCTGGAAGTTCTTGATTGTCGCCACAATCTGCTCAGGCAACTCCCAGATGCCATTTGCCAAGCACAAGGTGAGCACATGTCACAGGTCCACGACTAGTGTAGTTTGAGGCCCACATTTCCCGTGATGAATGGCTTCCTTGCCTTACTAAAGACCAACTTCAGTGTTGGTAAAACTGAGTGCTAGCCCAATACATCCTTACAGTCCCACTAGTGACACGAGGGAGGCCAGGCACCCTGGTTGGTATAGCTAAGAGTCTTGAGAAGGTGGATTATAACTGTAATTGAAACGAGAAGGAGATAACGACTGCTAAGAAAATTAGCATGCAGCCACACTTTCATCACACCCACCACCAGCAGTAATTGATTGGGTGCAAACTATATGACAGTTTGGAGTTGGGCTCCTGGTGTAAACACCCATCTTGGTCATTAGGTCACTTGAATTAAAAGGAAATTATTGACCCAGAATGATGAAATCAGCAAGGGGATTTTTAGTTAAATGATTGACTTGGAAAATCACGTCTGACTTCTAAATACTCCAACATTTTCTACTAGGGTAAATTATTCTTTATCCATATACCCACTTAGCAAGTTTTTGCTGAGTACCTACTAGCCTTTATTCATGTCGTAGAAGCTTAGACACAAACAGAGCTACAAGAATCATCTCATCCATCCCTCAATAGTCATTTACTGATGTAGAGGTAGATCTCACCCGGGCAAGTTTAGGGGCCAAGTTCCTAAGCGAGGTCAACCATTTAACACACACAAAAAAATCTTCCCAGATTTGAGAGAGCTGCTGCTGGAAGACAACTTACTCACCCACCTCCCAGAGAACCTGGATCAACTGGTAAATATTAAGGTTCTGACACTGATGGACAACCCCATGGAAGACCCGCCAATGGACGTGTGTACCCAAGGCAGTGAGGCTATACGGAAACACCTGAAGGAAAACAGAATTAGGAAAATAATGGCAAGAAAGGTAGAATCAGCACAGGACTTTGTGTTCTTTTTTTTCACATCAAGTGTAATTTTGTGTGTGTGTGTGTGTGTGTGTGCTTCTTTTTTTTTTTTTTGTCTTTTTGAGACAGGAGCTCCCTGTGACCTCAGCTATGTAGACCAGGTTGGCCTCCATCTCACAGACATCTGCCTGCCTCTGCTTCCCTTTTTTTGGGGGGAGGGGCTTTTTTGGTCTTTCTGAAACAGTGTCTCCCTGTAGCCCCAGCTGGCCTGGAACTCACTATGTAGACCAGGCTGGCCTGGAACTCACTATGTAGACCAGGCTGGCCTGGAACTCACAAAGGCCTGCCTCTGCCTCCCCAGTGATGGGATTAAAGACACGCACCACCATGCCCAGCAGATGGGTTTTGTTTTAATTAAAAATTATTCTTGGACATTTTCATAGCTGGATGCAATGTATCTTGATCATATCCATCCCTTAATCTTTCCTCTCCCCTTTCTCCTTCTACCCAAATCTCCCTTACCTGTCCCCCTTCATCCTTCATGCCCCCCCTTTAATAACCCACTGATTCCTGTTAGTGCTATCTGCATGCACATGGATGTGGGGCAGACACTGGCATGGGGGCAACCTGCCAGCAGGGGCATCCCCAGAGAAAAGCGACTCTCCCTTTCCAGCAGCCACCAATTGCCAATAGCTTCTTAGCTACAGGCTGGGTCTCATCAGCCTCTCCCATATCCGTACTGGAATGTTGACTCACCTGAGCTTGGGCAGGTCTTGTGCAGGTAACCATAGCTGTTGTGAGTTCATGAGTGCAATGACCATGTCATGTTTAGAAGACAGCCTTTCACAAGAGAAGGCTCCTTCCCCTCCTCTGGCACTTACATTCTTTCTGCCCCCTCTTTTGAGATGTTTCCTGAGCTTCCGTGGGCATTGAAATAGATGTCCCATTTAGGGCTGAGCACTCAGTAGTCACTTATCCTCAGCTCCTTGACCAATTATGCATCTCTGCATTGACTGCTGTCCCCTGCAGTAGGAAGCTTGTCTGGTGAAGGCTGGATGCAACACTGGTCTATGGATATAAATATGAGCATCTAGACGGCAGTTTGACAATGACCATTTAGCAAAACAGCAGTAATGGGTTCCATGCTAGGGCCTATGGACCTCCCCAGCCACGGGCTTTTGACTAGGTTTTTTACTAGTATCAGACATGGATTCCCTCTGCAGCACAGCCTCAAATCTAACCAGAGCATAGTTGGCTACTCCCGTGGCCTTCATGCCACTCTTGCACCAGCGAGTACATCTTGCCCTGCAGCTTATTATTGGATCAGGCAGGGTCCAGGACTAGGTAAGACTGTTAATGTCTTTACTTCCCCTTTCTGCACTATGAAACCTAGCCATCAAGGAGGAAGTTTCCAAGTCAGCTCCAGATTGATTTCTGTGTTCTGAAATTGAAGTATGTAGTGTCTTCAGAAACAGGGTCTTACCATCTATTTGTGGTGGACAATCAAGAGCCTTGGCAAGCATCTGCAGCACAGATCCTTCACACACCCACGGTTGCTCTGCAGAGGTGCCTTGTGTTAAGCACATTGCAGACTATTCTATGGAGTTGGCTTCTGTACACCCATGCCTTATGTGGCTTTTTACTGATGTGAGTGTGTGTGTGTGTGTGTGTGTGTGTGTGTGTGTGTGTGTGTGTGGTGTGGTGCTGGGGATGGAATACAGGGCCTTTCACATGCTAGACAGGCACTTTACTTACCACAGAACCACACCCGAGCCTATACCTTATTCTCCTGAGGAGATTCTTTATTTTTATATCCCCAGGGTTAAGTGGGAGAATTTTTAAATTTTGACACTAGAATTTTTATCTTTTATTTCTCTATCCCTTGTCAAATAAGAACTCAGCATTCAAATCAAAGAACCCCAAACTTCAAACACTTAAATCATCTAAAATTCTTAATTATTTTCAAATTTTTAATTTTTATTTTTATTGTATATACATGATTGTTAGGCCTGCATATAAGAAAGTGCATCCATGTCATGCAGTGGCCATGGAGATCAGAAGAAAGTGGTCAGATCCCCTGGAACTGGAGTTACAGACGGTTGTTAGCCACCAGGTGGGTGGTGGGAATGAAACCCTGGTCCTCTGCAAGAGAAGCCCGTGCTATTAACTGCTCTTAACATTTCTCCAACCCCTATTTTTTAACTATTAAAAAAATATATATATTGTGTGTGTGTGTGTGTGTGTGTGTGTGTGTGTGTGGAGGTGCTTGCCTGCCACTGCATGCATGTGGAATTCAGAGGAGAATTGCAGGAGTCGGTTCTCCATGTATATTGTGTGGGTCCCAGGGATTGAACTCATCAGGGTTGATGGCAAGTGCGTTTACCTGCTTAGATATCTCAACGACCCTCTTGGACAATTTTATTGGAGTGAAAAAAAAATCTTGTATTAACAGTGCCTAGGACAAGGACATAAGAGAACTCAGTAGTCCCCTCACCCCACTTACTTTTCTCTGAATGACTAGCTGATTAAGAAGACAGTAAATAATTGGTGGAATTGAAATCACAGCCCATTCTCCATATTTAAAGACCTTTTAGCAGAACAAAGAGATTTAATTGTTTCAAGTTATCATTGTCTTAGTGTGTTTACTGTTGCTATAGTAGAATACCCAAGGCTGGGAAATCCCTAGAAAATGGAGGTTAAGTTTGGCTTATAGTTATCAAATCAGGTGCCTGGCAATGGTGTCCTAACATGGTTGGAGCTGAAATGGTGAGAGAGCATGCACAAAAGACATGAAGTAGAGAGGGTGGCCTTGCTTTGTAACAACCACCTCTATAATAAATCTGAGATCAAGAATTCTCAAGAGAACTAATGCTGTCTTGTGAGAATGACCTTAAGTCTTCATGACTCAAATGGTCCTATCATTTCTCAACACTCACATTGGCAATTATATTTCAACATTTAAAAGAATTTAATTTTTGGTCTTGTGTTTGGGGTATGTGGGGGGGCATGCAGGTGAGTGTGTGGGTACCTGTGCCCATGAGGACACATGCAGAGACCAGAGCAGGACACTGGGTGTCCTCTTCTATGGCTCCCCCTGCTCCCTGATTGTCTTGACCCTAGAAGTTTACCTTTTCAGCTAAGCTGGCCGGCCAGTGAGCTCTCAGGATCCACCTGTCTCTGTTCTCCAGTGCTGGTGTTATAGGCATTTGTAGCCATTCTGGATGATTTATGTGGGTGCTAGGGATTTGAACTCAGGTCCTCATGCTTGCACAGCAAATGCTCTGATCTACTGCATCTCCCCAATCCCTTAGCATGTTTAGAAAGGGACAAGCCACAGCCAAGCCATAGCAATTGTACCACTTGCTGACACTGAATTTGAGTGTCTTGTTTTCAGATTCAGGCGTGGTGGCGTGGAACCGTGGTGCAGAAAAGGTCCCGTGAAGAACCAGTAAAAGCACAAAAGAAAGGAAAAACCTCTCCAAAAGATAAGAAAGGAAAAAAGGCTGCCAAAGGGAAACCTGCAAAAGGAAATAAAAAGTAATTCTGTAGGTGAATGAAGGGAATGATCCAGAACGGGGCAGGAGTGAGATGACCGTCACACTACAACTATCCATAGAACTACGGTTATTTCTAATAATAAAAGATTCTTTATTTTGGGCTGGAGAGATGGCTCAGTGGTTAAGAACACTGGTTGTTCTTGCAGAAGACCTGGGTTCAAATCCCAGAAACCACATGTCAGCTAACAACTGTCTGTAACTCCAGTCCCAGGGGATCCGACAGCCTCGTCTGACCTCCGTGGGCATTGCACGACATGGGTGCACTTACCTACATGGAGGCAATGCACACATACACATAAAATAAAAATAATAAAAAGATTTTAAAGAAAGATTCTTCATTTTACTAAAATATTGATGGGAAGGCATATGACACCTGGGAATTGTTTCACCATAGCACAGGGAGGGCCAAGGGGGTACAGGGACAGAGGAACATGACCACTGTGAACTGACAGCTGCAGAAACAGGCCAAGGGTGTGATTTCTGTCTACTTAAAAACATTTTGAAAAATGGATTCTCAGAAGTCCCACAGGAACTTACAAGGATGCCTAAGTGCTTCCGCCTGTGCTGACATCCTGCACAGCTCTACTGTGAAATAAAACTAGAAAGTGGTCATTGGTGCAAGCAACAAAACTTACTTGGATCTCATCAGTTGTGAGTGTACTCTGTGTGTGCCTGTGTGTGTGTGCGTGTGTGTGTGTTGGGTGTAGTTCAATGAAATTTTGTCACACATAGCTCTGCGTCAACATCACTGTATTCGAGATACAGACCTGCTCCTCACAAGCCTCCTTTGCAGTCACATCGCCCACTACCCACTCTCCGTCTTTCATTATACAATATACAACTACAAATGCCTTTAAGCATTTTGTATGAGGGCTAGAGAGATGGCTCAGCAGTTAAGAGCACTGGCTACTCTTGCAGAGGACCCAGGTTTGGTTCCCAGTACACATACAACAGCTCACAACCATCCATAACTCCATTTCCAGAAGATCTGATGTCTTCTTATGGCCTCTGCAGGCATTGCATACACATGGTGCACTTCCATACATGCACACAAACCACTCATACTAAATTTAAAAAATTTATGGGGCTGAAGAGATGGCTCAGAGGTTAAGAGCGGGTAGTACTCTTGTAGAGCACCTGAGTTAGGTTCCAAGCACCCATGTCAGGCAGCTCACAACTACCTGTAGCTCCAGCCCCAGGAGGATCCAGTGCCTCTGGCTTCCAAGGGTACCTGCACATACATGCATATACTAACATGTAGGCACACATGTACACGTTTCAAAATAAAAATAAGCTGAGAATAGTGGCTTATACATATATACATATACACACACACATATATATATATAATAAAATAATAAAAATAAATCTTAGGCTGGAGAGATGGCCCACAGGTTAAGAGCATTGGTTGCTCTTGTAGAGGACCTGGGTTTGACTCCCAGCACCCATGTGGCAGATAACAACCACCCATAAATCCACTTCCAGGGGGATCTGACACCATCTTCTAGTGTCTGTGGGCATTGCACACACATGGTGAATGTACATACATGCAGGTAAAACACTCATACACATAAAATACAAATAAAATTTTAAATGTTACTGAAAGCAAATCTTTAAAATCTTATTCTGTTTATTTTTGTGTGTATATAAGTGTGTATGGCACATGTGTGGAGGTCAGAGGACAACTTGAGAGTCAGTTCTCTCAACCACATGGGTCCTGGAGTCAAGCAGATCGTCAGGCTTGTGGCAAGCACCTTTTCCCACTGAGCCGCCTCACAGCCCTTTGCCTTTTAAGCCCGGCACAGCGCACGCCTACTCTGTTCTACTTGTGGCACATTTCCATAGCTCTTTCTATTTGCTGCTGAGCCCAGTCATGCAATCTGTTGAAGCATTTCTCATTGAAGACATTTAGTCATCGAAGGGTAATTTATTATGAATGAAGCTTCCGTGAGCATTCATGCACAGGCCTTCGCGTAAATACAGATGTGTATGTGGTTCATGGGAATGCTCAGACTAAAGAATGCCTAAAACATCTCAGTCTACAACTCTCAAAACCACCTCATCCTGGTGACTTTTCCTTCAGAGCAGTACTGATTTTAAATGTAATTTTTGTCACATTTATTTATGAATGGAGAGAGTCATACGCATGTTATGGCATGTGTGTGGAGGTCATAGAACATCTTGCAGAAGTTGGTTCTCTCCTTCCACCCATGTGGGTCCTGGAGGTAGAACTCAGGTTGTCAGTCTTGTCAACAAGCACCTTTACCTGCTGAGCCATCGCTCTGGCCCCTGATTTTTAATTTACACATCTTCTAAGAAATTACTGTACTTATTATTAGTGTAGTGTAGTGTAGGAAAACAAAACACAACTTCACTTGCATGTATCCAAATACAAATGTGTAGCAAACATTCCTGCCATTTAGTGAGTCATCCTTTAGGAAACAAAATGAAAATATTAAAAAATTGCTTAGTACAACTCAAAAACTTTCATTATTCACAATTAGTAAGAAGTTCCCAGAAGAAATATTTATCTTTTCTTTTTCTCATCATAAAAGGTTTATTTCAACAAGATGTGGTTTGATAGCGGCTTTTGAACTGTTGATTCCTTGCTGGTTTTTTCTCTAACATTTATATGTTAATGACCATTATTACTGTGGATAGTTTATATCTGAGAAAGAAATGGAATAGGACAAATTTTATATGTTGTATGTAACAATAGTAAATATAACTTGAGTGCTGGGGAGACAGTGCAGTTGTTCTGCAAGCATTAAGAATCAGAGTTTGGATCCCAGAACCCACATAAAAGCCAGGCAGGCGTGGCAGCCACTTGTAATGTCAGCACTCAAGAGGAAAAGACAGGGAATCCCTGGGGCTAGCTGGCTTAGCTACCCCAGCTGGAACCAGTGAGCCCTGGGTTCAGTGAGAGACCCCGCCTCAGTAAATAAAGTGGGGAGCAATCAAGAAAGACATCTGATGTCAGCTTTGGGCCTCCACATACATATGCATGTATGTGCGTGCATACTTGCACCCATTCCTACACCCACAGCCATGTAAATACTATACATTCACACACCACACACACGCAAGAAAGATGAGGTTACACAGATAGTGCCTTTCAAAGTAGAATTACACACAAAAGTGCACATGCACACACAAGCACCTTTACATCTAACATTTGTAACACATAAGGAAACAAGAGTCAGAAAATCTCAGAATAAGAAATAAGGGAGATGCGTTATCAAATATGAACATTTCTGATGGATTTCCTGAATGAGTTAATAATACATCCAGAACAAATGAATACCTGCTTTAAATTATCCTTGTCTTGGAAGATAGAGAATACGGATATGTTCATATGTGGTTATTATTATCATTATTGTCTGTGGAAATGTGCATGCGTGTGTGTATTACTTATTTTTCTGTTGCTGTGATAAAACACCATGACCAAAGGTGTTTATTCGGGCTTATGGTTCCAGAGGGATTAGAGTTCAGGGAAGGGGAGACGTGGCAGGATGTGGCAGGCATGGCGGCAGGATAAGGCAGGGGAGACATGGCAGGATGTGGCAGGCATGGCAGCAGGATAAGGCAGGGGAGACATGGCAGGATGTGGCAGGCATGGCGGCAGGATAAGGCAGGGGAGACATGGCAGGATGTGGCAGGCATGGCAGCAGGAGCAGGAAGGAGAGAGCTCACATCTTCAACCACAAACAAGAAGCAGAGAGACTGACCTGAAAATGGGATGAAGCTATGAACTCCCAAAGCCCATCCCCAGTGACACACTTCCTCCAGCAAGGCCACACCTCCTAAAGATTGCATGACCTTCCCAAACAATGCCACCAACTGAGGACCAAGTGTTCAAATACTTGAGCCAATGGGGAACACTTATCATTCAAACCACCACAGTGTGTGTGTGTGTGTGTGTGTGTGTGTGTGTGTGTGTGTGTGTGTGTGTGTAGTGTGTGTAGGCAAGAGGTCAACCTCCGGTATTGTTCTCAAGAACACCATCCACCTTGTCTGCCCCTTTGCCACCTAGCCTGGAACTCATTTGACAGACTGGCTGGCCATTGAGCCCCAGGGATCCAACACCCGTCTGCTTCCACAGCACTGTGATTGCAAGTGCACCATCATGCTTGGCTTTTTGCAATGTGTGTGCTCTGGAGCGCCAACTCAGGTCCTTGTGCCGGCACAGCAAGCACTTTCCAGACTAAGCCATCTCTCCATATTCAGTTATATACGTATATCATTACAAAAGTCTTACAAGGTAAGTACCACCAAACAGCCGGTAAGCTGAGCACAGTTGCTGGTGGGATTCATCGGGGACTCTTCTTCCTTTGGAGAACTGTTCATACGGCACAGCAGCCTAAAGAAACCCACCATGGTCAAAATAATGTCTCTTCTGCAGTCATGGGTAAAGCATTCTAGCTCTTCCTCCTGTGAAGGCAAGACTGTCCATCTCCTCAGCCCTATCTCACTGATCTCAGGAAGTTTGCTCACGGCGTATAGCAAGTATCTGAACCCCTGTCCACAATCCCGGAAACTTGATGGCCGAAGGCTGATGTCCAGCTCAGTTAACTCTCTGAGGAGCCACAGGCTTTGGCAGAAGATGGCCCATCCTGCATCACAGATGCTGTCATTGTAGCTCAGATCGAGCTTCTGCAGTTTGGCTAGATGGCCTGTCCAGATGACAGAGGCTGGAAAACAAAATCACTTCAAATGCTAAAATCCAAGGATACTTTCCACCTGGACTATTCTGCCTTTCTAGTAACACACTATCTCTAGGATTAGTAATAACTGATTGTGACATTTTAGCTGAGTCTCATTCAAGGTATCTGAAATTGTTTTAGTAAGAAAATTTATCCTCTGCATCCTATATACACCTTCAGTATGGATTTTCCCCCTTTCCAAAACCTATCTGAACAGTTTCATTTCTGTGCTAATTTGAGGTCTTTGCTGTACTGGAGTCCCAGCCCTCCGGCAGACTTTCTCTAGTTAAACAAATAGAATGATAGCTCACTGCCTTTAGTTAAGAACCATTCATACACAACTTATTGTTCACTCATACTGTCATTCTTCAACAACTATCTGAGTACTTTTTGTGTGTGTGATGCTGGGAATTGAACCCAGGGTCTCATACATGCTAGGTAAGCACTCTACCACTGAACTATAGCTCTATCCCTAAAAGTAATTTCAATGTACAAAACATACTGTGTAATTTCTGATTCACATTAGAAGCCGCTAATACACAAAACAATTTCCCCTTTGAATAGCCTATATCACATCATATCCTATGGTGAAATTAAAAGACAGTGACTTCTGCAAGAGGAGGATGGAGAGTAACCCAGGGCAACAGGCACCTGTCTCCCTCTTTAGCTGAATTCAGGAAAGGATTTTGGAGATGAGGTGAGTGATGCAGAATCTCGGGACCTTGGGAGTCTCCTCAGTCCACCTGCATGTCAATCAATGGTGTATGAGGAATCCCTTTGACGACCTCTAGAGTGCCAGCCATGATTCTGCCTCCCCCATCCTTTCATGTTTCATTGTGAAGTTGATCTTACTAAAGGAAGATCTTGGGGTCCCAATCTGCCTTCCAGCGACTTTGACCCATCACATGCCCCATCAGCTAGAAAACTCAGCCCCTTTTTCTCATGCCCTGCAGTGCTGGACAACAGATCTACCTCAAGTTTAACCCTCTAGGACTCACCAGACCCTCGGACTTCTAAACACTCCATACCACACATGGATTCCAGGCTGAGCAGATGCTCTGAGCCTGTCTGACCACTTGCCAACTCCTTGATTCCACAGAACACCGGAGAGCTCAGTTGTCTGCCTTATGTGCTGTGTGTCTATGTGCCCATGCCAGGGACCCCTTAACATTGCTCACAATATTCCCAAGGCCTGACCAAGTGTTAAAGGCCATGTGCATGCTTTTATCTTTAAAAAATGATTGTGAATGTGGGGTGCATGCCTGTCGTGCCAGCTGCCTGGGGAGACTGAAGCAGGAGCCTCACTTGAGCCACGAGAGCATCTTTGCCATGTACCCTTTGTTCAGTTTGACAGTTTTCATTATACCAGTCTTGCCTCATTCCCTCCCCTCCCCTCTTGTCTCCTCTTCATTTTGTTGTTTTGGGGGGATTTTAAAGCACACCCCAGACATGGCTTCCATTCTGTCCTAATCACAGTATTATATTTTAGTACTTTATATTTATTATAACATCAACAATCTGGGCAGCAGTATTGTGGGCCATGGGACTCTACCATGTAAAGAAATACGTATTATTATTTATAAAAGAAAGAAACATAGAATTCTCATGATGAACAAATTCTTAAGGAATATTTAAAGTAAAAAGTGGCGATGGAGTTCAATGGTAGAACTCTTGCCTTTTATGCAAAAGACGCCGAGTTCAAATCCCAATCCTGCAAAAAACAGTGAGAATAGCTAACACCACAGAGAGTAAGTAATACTGTTACTGAAATTTGAGAAGGAATAAAATATCCCTGCAAAGTGTGGAAGTGTAAATGCTAGTATATAAAACATAAATTTGACCTGAGAAAAACACTAACAATAAAAATTAAGTGGTGTACACAAGAACTGAAGCTATGAATAAAAAAATGGGTGACTGCCATAAACACAAGTCTCACTGAAGGGGAAAGGTTTGTTGTTGTTGTTGTTGTTGTTGTTGTTTTTGTCTTTTTGAGACAGGGTCTCCCTGCAGCCCCAGCTGTCCTGGAGCTCACTATGTAGACCAGGCTGACCTTGAACTCACAGAGATCCACCTGCTTCTGCCTCCAGAGTGCTAGGATTAAAGGCGTGAGGCATCATGCCTGGCAAAGGGGAAAGTTTTAATTGTAAATTTTAAATGACTTAACTATATTTAAATTTAGACACATAAACAAATAAAACCCAAAGCTGATTTACTTACTTACATGTTCTTATTTATTTTTAGTGGTACTGGAGATTGAATCGAGTGTCTTGCACATGTTAGGCAAATGTTTTACCACTGAGCTGTATCCCCACTCCAAAGGCTGATTCTTTGAGATCAATGACATTCACAAAATTCTCTGGCACTCAGAATTCTAAGATGGACACCCCAAGGTTTCTACTCTATCCCCAGAAGTGAGAATAGGACAGACTTTTACTCCATGAATACTTTATTCTATATGATGGTTGACTTTCTAAAAGGGAGATTATCCAGGTAGGGTCAATCTAATCATATGGCACATTAAAAGCAAAGTCTCCTGCTGGAGACAGAAGGGAAGGGAGATCCCCTAACAAGGAGTTGGAGAAGACTCAAGGATGACTGGCTCTGGTACTCTGATGAATTTAAAATGGAAGAGCAGGACATAAGAGTGCACACCCCCTCCACAGCAGCTAAGAGCAGCCCCAATTGACACTGAGCTCTTGCAGAGGACCAGAGTTTAGATCCCAGTGTCCACCCCAGGCTACTCACAACTGCTTGTAACTCAAGTTCTGGGAGGTCTGGTGCCCTTTTCTGATGACAGGTACCCTCACACAGGCAAAATAAATAAATAAAATATTTAAAAAATATTTTTGAAAACCTAAAAGTTTTTCATTGCAAAGAATGCTTACCAGAAAAAAAGACCAGTGAGAAAATGTAGGGGAAATATTTGCAAATAACATATTTGATAAAGGAAATATCCAGAAAATCTAGCACACTCTCAAAATGTACTAGTAAGAAAACAATGCATCTCTTAAGTTAGGCAAAAGATTTAGAGCAGACTTCACCAAAGAAGACATATGTTTGAAAATAATCAAACAAAAGGATCCGGGACAGCACTAGTCATTATGAAGACACATTAAAATCCCAATGCGTTGTCTCAATTCTCTAATTACAATAATTTTTGCTGTAACAATTGTTTTGAAAATGCAAGTTTCTTCCAACTAGATGAAATGCAGGGGACAATTTGAGCATAATACACATTTTTTTTTGTCTTTTTGAGACAGGGTCTCTCTGTAGCCACAGCTGTCCTGGAACTCACTGTGTAGACCAGGCTGGCCTTGAAGCATAATGCACATTTCTTATTGCTTATGCACAACTGTCCACAAGAGGCACTAGTTAAATATGCAAAATTGCCCCAGCTGCATATATAAATAAAAATGCATGTGTGAGACCTTGCTCTTTGACGTCAAGTAATCCTGGTTTCCTCTGGTGTGAGTGTGGATAGCCCACTTCCACAGACAACTTTAGGTATATTTCAAGGTAGAGTGCCATGTTTACTGTACCATTTATGCATTCCTTAACCATTTAATATAGATAAAATTAGACAATAGGATTGAAGAGATGGCTCAGTGGTTAAGAGCACTGTTGCTCTTCCAGAGGACTCAGGTTTGGTCCCCAGTACCAACATGGCGTCTAACTGTCCATAACCCTAGTTCCAGGGGATCTGACGCTCTCTTCTGGACTCTGTGGGCATTGCACACATGTGGTGTGCCTACCTACATGCACACAAAACAAAGCACTCATAAACATAAAATAAAAATAAATAAATCAAATAATTTTAAAAACAGACTAACGCCCTTACTCAAATGTGTCACTGTGAAGTTTTTGAGTGCTGAGAATCTAACCCTGTGGTTGGCATTGTGTGTTTTGCACAACAGGGATTTGTAGGTTCCCGGCAGGACCTTCACAACCTCCTTATCACCAACTCCTTTTAAAGCCCTGGCCATTTGGTATAGAATTACACTATTTGGTTTAACCAGATCTCTCCTAAGCAGACATTAGGGCCAAGGAAGTTGCCTTAGCCCAGGTCCACTGCCTGCCCATGCTTCTCAGGACAGGCACAGTGGGCTACGAGCCAAGAGTGCCTTCGCAGGAGTTGATACAAACCCAGAAGAGCCACGTCCTCTGTCACCAGGGAGCAGCTGCTCAGCCTCAGCACTTGAAGAGACTTTGACAGCTTTAGTGTTTCTAGAAGCAGCTCCAGATTACCACCAACACACTTATTCCAAGAAAGGTTGAGTATTTCCAGAGCAGGAAGATAAACAGATGCTTCAGCTGAAATTTTAATGATAAGAACATTAGTAACTTAGATTTCTTTTTTTTTCTTCTTTTCTTTTTTTTTTTTTTTTTTTAAGTAACCTGGATTTCTTAGGGGCATAAGCCTTAAATTTGTGAAAAGTGGGCCGTGGGCATGAATTAATATAACCAGGGTTAGAAAAGCTGTAGAAATCGTAAAAGTTGTTTTGTTTGGCCTGAGATTCATGCTGTCAGTGGGTATACTATCTCACTTGGGGAAATATTGGAGACTTTAGAAAAGACTGGATTAAATGGAATTCATGTTGTTTGGAATTTCTTTCATTCCTTTTGTATTTAGGAAGGAGAAAGAGACAAGATACTAGTCAGGACAGCAGAGTGCCTTGATTGGTACCTGTCCCACTGTATGATCTCTACTGATATTCAGAGAGGGGACCAAGCTTTCTTAAGACTCCAGAGCACTGGGGCTGGAGAGATGGCTCAGCCGTTAAGAACACTGACTGTTCTTGCAGAAGACCCGGGTTTGAATCCCAGCACCCACATGGCAGCTAACAGCTGTGTGTAACTCCAGTCCCAGGGGATCTGACAGCCTCTTCTGTCTTCCATGGGCATTGCACGGCATGGGTGCGCTTACATACATGCAGGCAATACACTCATATACATAAAATAAAATATTTTTTTAAAAAGAGGGTTGAAAGTGTCTTCACAGTAGAGGCAATGGAGCTGATTACTTAAAAGAATGACTAAGGGGCTGGAGATAGCACTCAGTCATTAAGAGTGCATAGTGCTCATGAAGAGGACCTGAGTTCAGTTCTCAGCATCCATACTAGGTAGCTCACAACCACCTGAATTCCAGCTCCAGGAGATCTGGTGGCCTTCACAGTTACACAAGCACATTCCTACACACAGTCATATACATAACTTAAAAATAAAATAAAATCTTTTTTTAAATGCGTAAGTACTTGCAAAGGCAGTGGGGGAAAAACTAATATCCTAAGGACAGACAAAAGTATGAAGTCAAAAGGAGGAGTGGTGAAAATTTCCAGCATTATAAA